TAGATGGATTGATAAAAGGAGATGAAAAGAAATATGATTTGAAATTAGCCTACCATCTGAGCCAAGAAGCACCTTTCTATCACAAACCAGATTACCATCATATTTGGTCAGTAAAAGCTCGAGTGAATGAATTGTATAGCATGTTCAAAGCCATTCTTTGAAGATTCTAATTATATATATTCACACAAATAATTCATGTTGACCTATAGTACAAACTATAGATTTAAGAAGGCACCATTGATCACACCTGTGATCATGTCATGTTTTTGGTGGAAAGGGTGATATATGTACACCTTGCTATTTGCTTTTTTTTGTAACACATGGTACATCTGGCAGAGAAGAGTAGATAACCTTATAGCTTCAGAACTTGCAATTGTAACTCATCAGGGACAGTGACCATTTCACCTGGATAGTTGCGGTCAGATCAAAGAGACCAAATATAGGTGTACATTTATGTCCTCTGAGTGAGTTGGTCTCTCATCAAACCTCACCCAAATATTGTGGTCATATATATATATATGTTCATGAGTCACTTCCTTCCTGCACTTGCTGCTGAAAACCAGTAAAATATCCGGGGACACGCGTACGTATCATAATGTGCACAATCAATTTTTGTTAATATTGTAAAACGAATAGCACATCCATATTCTATGTATGTTGATTTAATATCAAGTTTTGAAATTGGTGATCTATGCTGATTTAATTCATATAATAAATGCAAACAACTGATAAGGTTGAAAACCCATCAATAGCTGTTTTTTTATCAATTGCAAAAGGTTTGTTGGGTAAGGATCGGGGTGAATTTTCTTCATTATTTCAAAATCAATACAGATATCAGAAATCAATAAATATTAAATAAATAATACTATCCATCAAAACATTTTATAAAAAGTACATCAGTTTCAGCATCCCTACCACTGCACTGTGGTTGTTCATACATGTACAGAAAGTAACCTATCCTTAGTTTCGATTTGGATATAACTGTAGTACAGTTGAACCAGGACACTTTCGTTGACCTGCAGGTAGCTCAGTCAGTTAGAGCGATAGTATATATATATAAAAAACAATCTTAAGTCAAAAATTTAAATCCCTTTCTAGCCCTGAAATTTTACATTCAGAAAACTGTTGTTTATTGTATTTTGTTTATTTCATCTTCATCGAGTCCTGTAAGGTCTGGTTTTCTTTTCAGAAACAATTTATCAATAATTTATCAATGCTATAGCCATGATGGGGAAAAAATACAGTTTTTGGCAATTGTAAGTATGAAGATCACTATATAGCTAGGAAGCTTGATAAAACGACATGATAATTTATTGTTAATAAATACCTCTCAAAGTCTGTTTAACAAAACAAAACAAAAATATTTGATCTCATTGTCAGATAATCATTCCAAATCTCCAGGTGTTTTTTTTTATTTCATATATATCTGAAAATATGACAGAATAATTAACCTTTTAAGGTCTTTGGGCTCTGATGAATAAAAAGGCTCTGAAAGGTTAAAAGAAGCTGACTTATAATTGTACAAACTAAAACATACTGTACAACGAGTGGTCACATTTTGTAGTACATAATTTTGCTTTCATATTTAAAAGCCAGTTGTACAATAATATGAAATCATTTTTTTTTTTACATGCTTTCCTAAATTTATTTATATGTAATTATTATCATGGTTAACAAGATATAAATGGAGAGAATGACAGCTAATGATGGTTGAATTGAATGTTAATCGGTATCTACATGCCCTCTAGCTATATATCTATAGGTACAAAAAACCCAGTTCTTTTTAACTGATGATAGAGTATGTAATTAAACAAGACAAACTTGTGTATACACATCACTGATGCTAATGGGGAATCCCACCTGTTCTATTGTGTCTAGCGTATTTCTATTAAACAGACTAACAAATACACTAGTACCTATGTACAATGTACATGCACTGCACACTTGGTAAATACAGCATTCCTATATATGCCAGCTATATGTCTGTACTGCACATGCACCATAATGGTCATGTGTATAACTAGACTGGTTTATGTACAATGTATACATGATGGAACAAGTTGCTGACATGCAACCAAATACTTGCTGATATATATATATATATATATGCAAACAAAAGAATGCTTGTAAAAATACAGCTGGCAATTCTATTGTAAACAGACTTTAATAATATTTACCATGCATGGGTATAATGTCATTGTCTGATCTAACTCATAAGTGTTGATCGGAATCTTCTTGATGATTCTTATCTTAAACGTCTTGTAATGTCACATTTAACTTATTAATTACCTCTTTGGTAAATTGATGAACATCTGATGTTTATGCTTACACATTGTGATTGAGCTTTTTATTGACAGCCACACTAAAAAATAATAACTGACAGCAGCAATTAACCAGGATAAATACACCTGTCATAAAGTACAAAACTTCAGCTCAAGGCTAAACCATTTAAGGTGTTTGTATGAGGCAATATCTAAAGGAAGATAGTACATGCTACATGTTAGTTTTTCATCTCTTACATTGGTCATGGTCATGAAATGTCAGTAATTTTTGCCCATAGGTCATCTAGTCAGTAATAAATTCATCATTGTGTGTCCAGTGATAGTTGACATCTGACCTCCTGAGGACACGATCTGTTGTCTACACAGCTTACACTGTTATAAATGTATAAGTCTGCAATGGTGATGAGATAAAAGAGTAAAACGTAAAGGGCTTTCAGATGACTCTTGGCATATTAGCAATTTCAGAAGTCAAAAAAACTTGTTTTTCCTCCAAAACCTGTCAAATAGACAAGAGCCAAACCTTTAAGTTTTTTTTTTACAATCGAACAATAATATATGCGGTAATTATCACTGCAGTATACGCTGTATATGTTACATTTAAATGAATCACCATGTTCTTTTTTGCAGTACACACAGGAACAACCTAAAGTTAAAAACTTGCATCCTCCACTTGATAGTTAAAATTTCATTTGAATTAAAGTTTTACTTTGATCCCTGCCTATGCCCCCAGATTATCAGTAATTCTACTCCACTGTCTGTCATAGGATACTACTACACAGATATAGCCAATGTAAATAAAAGTAAAGGTCTTATCGGAGACTTCTCTTCATTTACCTTTACATAAATGTTCTCAAAATTTGATAGCAATAAAACATGCTGGTTTCATTATTTTAACTTCTATTCCAGTACCTCATAATTTTGTATCTGTCTTAAATATTACCCAACAAAGTAATATATTGAAGGGTTCTATTGCTAAACATCTCTAGTATGGAAGAGACAAATCAACAGACAGATTAAATGTAGACCTGATGTCACAAAATATATAGGCAGCTCACAACTACAGATATCAATTACAAATGTATATCAATTAACAATTGTTATTCTTTTAAATAGAAGTAATTATTTTATTTTTTAGTATTATCATCTTTGGACATATTGTCAAATGATTACTACCTAACTTAAAAACAGAATGTTAAGAATAATGGATTGTCACCATAGTAGAAACCTTACTTGATGACTTACCCTATACTGGTTTCATAAACATGTATAATTTATCTTAACTTAAAATTAAGATACTGATAGCACCAATGTTTCCATTAAACCTTGATGCAGATAAATTAGCCCACATTATTGAAGTCCTGATAACAACCCAAGACTGGGCATTGATACATGAGTTTACTTAGGTAATAAAACACTGAAGCCAAGATATGGATTGAGGAGAGGGAGGGACTTTCTTACCCAGGACATTCAGCTGGCATTAGCAGGATTATTGATTTTAATTTAAGATAAGTACAAAATAGGTGCCACAGTATGTAGTGGTTTGTACACACCTCTGTTTTATTGATTACATTACATGTACTTTGACATCAGGATCTCTTGTGTGCTCTCTATATATGAGACCACAATTTTTTTCTATCTGTAGTGAAAAAAGAAACATTGTGCTTTTTTTAATTTGTAAAATCAGCAGGTGGGGGAAAACCACTAACTTGCATATATAATACGCAAGCCTATTATACATGGATTTGTTACTAAAAATAGCACAGCTGTTGTTTTAGAAGCTCAGAAGTATAGTACTAATGTGCTACAAAACAAATATGTAATCACATATTATGTATACAGCTTACAGCAAAGCAACTGTAATAGAATATTTTTATTCTTTCAAGTTCAAACAATGACAATAATTCATCAGATAAATAGGTCAGACAAAGTTATACAACTATTACATTTATATCCTGTGTAATCTTGACCAAGCCATACTCTAGCTAATATATAATCAACAGTCTGTTTGACAGATGGCTTGCCAGCTGGTCTAACGTGATAATGGACAGTATCAGCTATAGTAAGACTTCTTCCTTTAACTCAAGTCTCAGTGTGGATGATCATAAATAATTTTCAAAAATAATTTATTCTGAAAGTAAATTTACTGAAAGTTCTTACAATAATATTCTGAAATTGAAAATCTTAAGTACTACCAAAATATTTTATACACTGTTATAATTTTGTGTGCTGTGCAGTGACATAATGTCAAGCTAAAATCCCCTGCTTTGAGCTTTTGGTGTAGCCTATGCAGTGCATATTGAATTATAAAATACTGTCCTATGCCGACAGATTATATAATATAGCAATCTAACCGAGTTGGCATTTAGTCATCACTCAGATAACGTAACAGTGTTCTTTGTACACAATTCAATTCTATCCATCAAGGGCTGTGTATTGTAATCTCACACCTGTGTGTATTCGAGGATTTATTCCCTAAATATTAATTTAATATAAAAGACACATTTATCCAACAACGTTCGCATACAACGCGTAGTATTAATGAACATTTTCATTGAAACACGTCACTAATCTTCCATAAAAATATACACATCCCCCCATTTTTTGACGTTCGCAGCCGCTGAATCGAACTTCAAAAGAACGATTACGGAGCAGACGAAAATATGATGATGGTCGAGGGAATATCATGATAATTCAGAAAATATAAATACATATACGTACCATTTACAGTCTGAAAAGTTGATAAATGCAGTAAAATCCCCAGAACAAGAAACATCGACCATGTAAACAGACTATCCATCCTTTATGTGACTCACATCTTTCTCTCACTTCCTAATCAAGTAAGAATTAGTCTGTCGACAGCCCCAAGTGTACCAGTGCGCATTCCTACCGGAAATGCCAGCAGTACCGGATGTACGTAGAAAATAATAGTTAAAAACGAACGCACGTTGACATGAATACGGGGTATGATTTGGTTTTAATCCGATTTTTCTCGAGAAATATACGCGTCATGTTTGACTTGATGGTAATGTTTCTATATTGGCAATTATAAGTTATAGCGGCGTATTTTAGTCGATACAAAAAAATCCAAGAAGTAAATTTCACATAATATAGATTGGAAAATATATGGAGATTTTAGTTACCGTTTGGCGTTAGGTGATATATGTTGACACGAACTTTGAGTTTAAGGTGGGTTTTTTCACGTGCGACATTCCACTTTCCTTCTTTCTCTCTTTTTGCCATTTCGAATAGACAAAATACGTTGATTTTGTATCACATATTTATACATCGAAAACTATAATGATAGATTTGAATGAGTTTGAAAAAAAATAAACAAACAAAACACATAAAAAAGTTTAATGTGTATTGTGTATTAGCCGGTAACTTCAAAATTTATGAAAGTAATATGGTTCCTTGACTGCGACTTCATTGTTGTTTTCATATACTATTATTTGAAATCGACATCATAAATTAGATACCAAAGTTAGTAGCATTCGTAGCATAAACGATACATCCGCTCCGTTTTCGGTATAGTGTGTGCTGCTTGGAGATCGTGCTCTTCCGGTTTTCCGGCTCTATTTTGGGTTAAGCTATCAAGTAACGTTCCTCCAGTGATCTCTTAAATCGGTAAACTATTTTGAGAAATAACGAAAAGAAGCGGAATCTTCAACATTATAAGCGTTGTATGGGAGGTAACTCCTAGATAAATGGCCGGACCTCAATGCCACGAGAACAAATTTTATGTCTCTGCTTTAACGTAAATGTATCATGAAGTTTAAAAGAGAGTAATCTAAGATGATTAACGGGTTAAGATCACCATTCTTATTGATTGTGGTGGCATTTTACTGAGTGTTTATCTAAACCTCTAAAACTTCAAAATTAAATCGACTCCATATCGGCAACGTTCGACCCTATCAACATACATCATGTAATTATGTAGCAAGACTATAATTTTATGATATGCAACTGCCATCGAAACTCTCTGATAAACGGCCTACTTATCTGGGGGATCCAGAAGCACTAGTTGAAAGTTTTAGTTCCACCACAGTCACGTCTATGTTTTACTATTAACGATATAAAATGTATTTCGAATGTATTACTTTATTTATAAAGCGAAAGTATTTTTTAATACAAAATCGTTATTAAACCGAATTTCTAGGAATATCTCTTGATGAATTGCGTTAGAAGACATTTGCCGCTACATCAGGGACGTATAAAGCCAGTACATTATATGTTTATTACAACGAACGGTTCGTCTTTGCATACGTGCTATAAATCTTGGTAACCGGTTTTTTGCCCTAAAACCCGTTCGCCCTAGGTTGTTTCGCCCTAAAAAAAAAAGAGTCCATACGCTAATATCATAATTAATATTTAAATATATTAACTAAACTTATTGATGACTTTCTACAATGGTGTTTGGTATATTTCAAGTAGAGTACGTATGTGAGAGTGGTGTCAGCTTTTCACAGCTGCCGTTTGTCACACTCGCTTAAAAAACAAGTCAAACACATTTTGTTTATGAAATTGATAATAATTATATAGAAGACCAAGAACACTTAATTTGTGACTTAAAACTACCGAAGTTGTGACTTAAAACTACCGAAGTTGAAAGAATATACCAAACAATGTTTTTGTTTTAGGCTGAAACAACCTAGCGCGAATCAACCTAGGGCAAACGATCAGATAAAACTATGTAGTAGGAACCTATTTATTTACTGTAAATTATTTTGTTAATGTATGGTGAAGAGATTGCAGTTTTCAATAAAGTAATTGTTCCCTTGTTATGCATCTCTGAATTTGGTAATAAACCCGTTCATTTTAGTTTAAAAAATCCCTCGGAATCTATGTTTAAGTAACCAAATAAGTATAAAATTAACTCCGATAAATTGATAAGAAAATGTATGTTAATTGTGGTTTCAAGACATCTAGGATACATTCGCGTATACCGGTTGAAACGGTACGTGTGGCGCAGAAATTTTCCACGATAAACGAACGCACTTGGACCGTTCTATAAGCAGAGCTAAAAATGCACAGTTTCGGAGAATAAAAAACAATGTATAAGTCGTAAAGTTTTGAAACCTGACCATGGTGATCTTTACTTAAATAATAGTGTTATATCTGAAGTGTCTAGTCACAAACATCTTGGTGTTTGGTTTTCGTCTAATCTTTCATGGCATGTTCATATAAATCATATAATAGAATCTGCTTCAAAACGTCTAAATGTATTAAGAAAATCGAAATTCAAACTTGATAGAAATTCTTTACAAATAATGTATTTATCATTTATTAGACCAATTCTGGAATACGCTGACATAGTCTGGGACAATATACCAAATTATCTAAGTGAGAAATTAGAAAATGTGCAACTAGAGGCAGCCAGAATCGTTACAGGGGGTACCAACTTATTTAATATAGAACTTCTATATAGAGACACCAAATGGGAAAAACTAGCAGATCGTCGTAAAAAACACAAATTAATACAGTATCATAAAATGGTCAACAAAATATCGCCGAACTATCTATCTTATCTAGTCCCTTCAAGAATTTCCGACAATCATACATACAATACAAGAAGATCCGACTTACATCAGACTGTATAAACACGAACAAACTTATTTAATGAATCTTTTTTACCTTCTTCAATTCGCCTCTGGAATGAACTACCGCTAAATATTAGAGAAAACTCATCAGTTAAGGTACTAAAAACACATCTTGATAATAACAGTATCTGACATGCACCAAACTATTTTTATACTGGTAATCGTAAAGGTCAAATACTCAATGCTAGACTCCGACTTCATTTTTGAATTACTTGTGTTAATTATTCTCGTAACAGACAGCAGTACTTATCTGATATAATATTAAAATACAATATTCATGATAATGTAGAAATTCTTTTATGGGGTGATCCCACACTAAATGATAGGGAAAATGCAGAAATATTCATTTCCGTGCAGAACTTTATCGTCAACAGCAGCAGATTTTAATGGCTATTGCATATCTAAATTAGTTTTTCCTTTAAACCACTGAGGTAACTATTTCTATGTGATTCCATAGGAATCTTAATCAATCAATTTTCTTTTTATTCCTTACTAAGTAACAGCTCGTTGTCAATGTCTTTTACTACCAATCAAATAATGTATAACTACTATTTTTCTTTTTCCATTATTTAAATGATGTTTTGTCCGTCTCATCAATGACGTGTGTAAATGTCCATGTAAATTGCAGCAACTGTAATAGAGGAGAGGAATTAATATAAGCTTATAGCTTGTTTTCCGATCCTCGTTGTATTTGTACTGTATTGTAATGTAGTTTGCAAGTGATGAAATAAAATATTGTTTAAACTAATGTAGTGAAAATAGTATGCCTAAATTGTCCGGAAAACGTGGTCACCGCAATGGTTTCTATTTTACTATTTGATCAAATTTAGTCACGTGACCAATGTGTTTTGGAAACATGGCGGCGATGTATACAGTTACCTGTCATAATTTAGTCCAGCAGGTGTCCCCAATTTGACCGAAGGATGATTCATTTTTGACACCAAAGGTAAACACTTTGTTAGCTTACACTCAGAAGGGTCTTATCCGTAGAGTTTTCTCCGAAAAAAATGGTGAATGCGCAGTAATCTCAGTGATGAAATGTTGAAAACATGAATATCATTATGAAAAATTATCTTGTCACCTAGACAGCAGAACTGTTTTGTTCTGGGTTTTACCTGAAACATTACAAACTGGCGTTCATATCTTTTAATATATTGGTCGATCGAGATATATCAATATACTGGTATGTATACACATAGTTTTATTTTCAACTTTCTAAACTATTTCCTTTTCCTGCGTGTTGCAAGAATACTGCTCTTCCATTTGGGATCCACACAACACAAACCAAATTAAACAAATAGAAAAAACACAACGAAGGGCAGCACGCTACATACACAACAGATACCACAACACTAGCTCCGTAACAGATATGATCCACAAACTACAATGGCCAACACTACAAACACGGCGCTGTCACACAAGAATTATCCTTTTTCACAGAATTATACACCAAATCGTAGCCATAAACCCAACACATATACTCACACCCGTAGACCCTCGAACCAGACATGCACACACTCACGCATACAAACACATATCTGCTACAAAGGACACCTACAAATATTCATTCTTTCCACACACACATTGACAATGCAATAACACAATGGAATGTCCTTCCCATTTCAGCAGTACAATGTACAACACTAGAGGACTTCAAGGCACACTTACCCTATGCAGCCCTTGAAGCCCTCATCACACGCTAAAAAACATACGCCATATTTTATCTATACCTTGCACAAAAATATCACAAAAAAACAACCTTATCACTGTAAATAACCCCCTTTTTCACGCCTCTGCAATAGGACCCCCGAGGGCATAAACATCAAACATTGATGGAGCCCCCGTAAAAATAAAGAACAAAAGAAGAATAAGACAGATAAACTGTTAACTTTCAATATGCAAACAAGTAAGCTAGTTTGTAATAAATGATGTTAGCCCACGGACAACTTCTAAAATGTGCTGACATGTCATAAATCAGCCATACGTAGTAGGCAGATAAACTACTGGGCTTCAACACAAATTTCAAGGGAAAATTTATGATTATTTTTTAATGCATATCCGATATGTACGAAATTAAATGGTAAATAAAAAAAGGTGAAAATGGATGTAAAGAAGTCTGAAGCTCATTTTTTCAGTCACTTGCAAATCTGTGCAGACATTATCAAGTATTAATCTTTAATTCTGGTCTGGTTTAGCCAGAAATTATTGAATTGAGGGAATGCCTCTCAAATCAGCAGGTGGGGGAAAACCACTAACTTGCATATATAATACGCAAGCCTATTATACGCCAATAGGGCCAATATGCATTTGTTACTAAAAATAGCCAAAATCACTTTAATCTTAACTTTTTCAAATTGTTTGTCCATGTCACATTTATTCAGTCATGAAACATAATACGAATGCAAAACTAAACTTTTTGTGCATGTGAGAAAGTACCAAAAATAGATGCAATACTTCCGGTAAGGTTACATCAAGTTTCTAAGTAGCCAATACTTTCAGTAAACATCTTTTAGCAAAATATTATTTACCTTGTCGTAAATTAATGCGATTTTTGATAATATCTTGCAAAAGTTACTGTTAAAGTAGTTTGGGTTATTTTTAGCAACAAATCCATACTCCAACCGGCGTATAATAGGCGAGTTTGCGTATTATATGCAAGTTGGTGGTTTTCCCCAACCTGATCAGGGTAATTATATTAGTTGCAAAATTGCCAACCACACAGGAGAGATTTGTTTATATGAAGAAATGTTTTATTACTTGTCTTAAGACCAAATGCCCCGGCTCCAGGTCATTATACCCAGGATTCTTTGGCTCTGTGTGTTGTTATTATATTATGTTGTTCACATGTTGTTTTCTTGCATGACTCAAATATAATCCTCACAAATTAACTTTAAGCACAATCTTGAAAATTATGTGATTATCTTTGTTCAACCTTTTTGTCACTTACAGCCTGCTTGAAATTTCTTTGACGAAATACAAAATATATCTTTTAGATATGATTTACCCTCCCTACCCAAAACAAATTTTATTGTTGACCCCTGATATTTTGAGTCAAAGTTTCAGATAAACATTGATAACATTTATTATCCATATAGACAATGGTTGGACAGTGGTTAAAAAGGAAAACAGAAGGAAATGCTTATCTTTAGGTTATCTGCCTGGGTGTAACCCTAACAGTGTGCAGTTTTCTATTATACAGTTACAAATCTCAGTTGATAAGATTTACTTGGAATATATATCAAATCATTTTAAGAGATTGTATTTTCAGAAAGAAAGAACGGGGATGGATGCCCGGGATATGGCAGCCTATCTTGGCTATGAGCAGACAAATGTGGCCACTTCTGATTATGTGGAATCCGGGAACATTGAGATCCCCAGTACAGACACAAGCAAAGACATGGTAGACAATGACACCAGAGACCTTGAAGAAACCCAGACTTCAAAGAGACCATACAGAAGTTACTTTACTCAACAGTCAACTGCATCAAATGTCATTGAGACTACCTTTGAAGTGCCAGATGCAGAGGAAACTTTGAAATTACTACGCAAGCCGTTTCAAATAAAGAATCCTGGATATCATGTTTGCAAACGTAGCCCTGATCACAATAGCATTAGTTTTATGCACTGCAGGCATGTGCTTGGTCTGGGAAAGCAGTATGAAGCTTTACGAAGAATCATGGAAGAGAGGGCACGCCTGGAATTCCTCAGAGATTGTATGTTCCGGATAAAATCAGTTTCTGCTTTTGTTCAAGACCTAGAAACACTGGTACAGAATGAGTATCGGACATTTTATGCCATTACTCATCAGTGTGTTAATGAATCTCCCATGACAAAGTTGTATTGTCTAAACGCACTTTGTGAGGACTTACGAACACACATCGGCCACTGGAATAGCATCAAACAACGCATACACACCAGCAAATGGCTGCAACCAATGATTGGCAGATTGTATATTGATGTTGAGCATGTGCGGAAAGCTCTGTTTACATTGTACAACAGTGCTATTTACTGGATGGAGAAACTCATCATTATTGGCTTTCAAGTTTTCTCCCATAGTAACCTCGCTGGTTTATCACAAGAAGTTCTGTGGAATATCACTCGTGGTCTTGAGGACTTCAACAACATCCTAAACAGCCTTCCAAAATCAAGATATAAGCCTTGTGTTATTATCAACAGCCTTCAGTCTGATTGGTGCTACAGAAGTTCAAAGTCAGATCCTAGCTTAACTAACTTCCCTGGTTTCCTGGCCAACAGTGCTAAAGCTATCCCATTTTCAAAGATATTGAATATAATAGCCAGTGAAAGGTCAAAATATGCTGCATTGGCAACTCACAGATTCTTCACATGTAATGAAGAGTTCATGAAGATTCTCAATTCTGGTAAAATACCTGCCTATGTTTGGAATGATGAGGTACAAAGCCAAAATCACAGCATGACACATGGTCAAGATACATCTGACTATCACACAGCTAGTGGCAGTCTGACTAGCATCAGTGGTGCAGTGTTGAGGGTGGGACCTATTAGAGCCCCTGACCTCAGTCAAAAGCCAGCTCCTCTTACAGATTTTGCCTCTCAAGAGCAGCACTTTGCAAATACATTTCTTTTCATTGTGTGCAGCTCCACCCATCTCCTCAGGAAAAGCGAAAGCCATTCAAAATCAAAACACAAGAGCAGCAGATCTCAAAGTGTAAATAAGAGTGTCAGTATTCAGAAGCCTCCAGTAGGTCAGGAAACTCCAGTTCTCTCTCGTTCAGACTCCAAACGAAAAACTGTCTCTTGGGGTGATTCTGATGATGGGTCAATCCGAACACAACTCGTAAATCGTTACATGGACACCTTGTGGAAGTGCTTTGGGAAAGCCCTGGAGCAGAGGTTCCATGAACCTGCCTGGTGTTCAAGAAAAAGTCCAGAGTCTGGAGGACTGGGAAGTGTTGTGTTTTGTAATGCAACTCTCATTGCTGTCATCAGAAACATGATTGAACATGTTTGTCTGAAAGGTATATATAGTAGAAGAACAGAATTAATTTTTTTGATGTTTCAAAGTTTGATAGAAAATACTTAGAAATTAAAAGGGAAATTGGATGGTGTTTAGATCTTAACAAATTAATGTACTGTACATGTAAATATATATCAAAACTGCTCCTTGTTTCAATTGCCATCTCGCTTAATAGATATATATATCGCAACTTTTCATGTCAATTCTTTTTGGCATTTCTGATATCCTCTTTTCTTGAATGAGTCTTCCACAAAACCTTGCTAAACCTTGCCATAATCTGACACTTATCGGTAAGTGGTGAAATGGTGCCATTGCAACAAGTATTTACTTATATAGGAACTTGCATAGTTTATATGTACATCCACTAATTATAAATTTCCATTGTCTTTGCAAACTTTAGATATGTTTCCTGTGACATCTGTCTCGCCAATGCTGGGTCTGGCTCGCAAGTTCCACACTATGTCTGCCATGGCATCTTGGGACACTAGTAAGTAAATTAAATGTAGACAAGTTTAAGTCTTTATTGAAAAATGTTCTTCTGGAATGTATTTGTTGAAACCAAAAGGGTTTAAAAATCCACACGATCATGTTATTATTGTCTAGTGATGTAATTTTGTGTTTATACTAGATATGTGTGAGGTGTTAGGGTCACGCCTCAGTGATAAGTGTTATCCCTGTCCCCTGGCCGGAGGAGACTACAGCACACGGACAGGCATGCTACTACGCGACACCTACCAACCACTCTTTAGCATATTACAGGAAGACCTCAAAGACTTGTCAGAAACTGGAAAAGGTAATAAAGGCATATTATTAGCTCACCTGGCCCGGAGGGCCAAGTGAGCTTTTATTATCCCATGGCGCAGCGTCCGGCGTCTGTCAACTTTTTCCTTTAAAACACTACTAGTCCTGAACGGCTCAGAGGATTTTGACCAAATTTGGTCTGGAGCATCATTGGCCAAAGGGTTCTCAGCTTTTTATAAACGGAGGGTATGGTCCCCCTGGGGGCAGAGGGGCGGGGTCAAATAGGGGGAAAATAGGTAAATCTTTAAAAATCTTTTTCTTCTCAACAAATAGAAGGATTTTGACCAAATTTGTCCTAGAGCATCTTTGGACAAAGGAGACTCAAGTTTGTATAAACGGATGGTGTGGCCCCTCTGGGAGCATAGGGTCGGGGCCCAATAGGGGAAATAGAGGATTTTTTTTCTCCTACTATATATACAAGTGAAGGGATTTAAACCAAATGCAGTCTGAAGCATGATAAGGGACATAAGAATCAATGTTGTATAAACTGAGGTGTGTGGGCCCCTTCTTTGGGGCAGATGGGTGGGGCCCATTAGGGGAAATAGAGAAAAACATCAAAGATCCTTCTCCTTTTTTACCTATCAAGGGATTTTGACCAAATTTGGTCTGGAGCATCATTGGCCAAATGGTTCTCAGTTTTGTATAAACGGAGGGAATGGTCCTCCTGGGGGCAGAGGGGCGGGGCCAATTAGGGGGAAAATAGGTAAATCTTTAAAAATCTTCCTTCTTCTCAACAAATAGAAGGATTTTGACCAAATTTGTCCTAGAGAATCTTTGGACAAAGGAGACTCAAGTTTGTATAAACGGAGGGTGTGGCCCCTCTGGGAGCATAGGGTTGGAGCCCAATAGGGGAAATAGAGGATTTTTTTCTCTCCTACTATACAAGTGAAGGGATTTAAAACAAATGCAGTCTGAAGCTTCTTTGGGGCAGATGGGTGGGGCGGGGCCCATTAGGGGAAATAGAGGAAAACATCAAAGATCCTTTTCCTTCTGTACCGTTGAAGGGATTTAAACCAAATGTGGTCTGAAGCATGCTTAGGGGAAAAAAACTCAATTTGTTTAATTTGTATAAAAAGGTGCATGTGAGGCCCAATAGGGAAAATAGAGGAAAATTGGGACATAACATGGAAACTCATTTTCTTGGTGTCTTTCCCACCAAAACAGATTTATATGTAGTTCTTCTTGCAACTTTATTTCTTGTACTCCATTGATAAACCTGTATGGTACTCAGCAGGTTTTAAATTGAAAAATAAAATACCAGGTGAGCTATTAAGGCCCCTGGGCCTCTTGTTGTTCTTTGTTGTAGTTACTGCTTGATAGATATATATAATTATATAAATTTAATAGATCTGAGCAAATGCTATGAGGCATATAACTAAAAAAAACATCATACAGTTAATGTTCTTAAAAACCAAAAAACAAAAGGATGTTTGAAATAGATGTTCCACCAGAGCATTAAACATTTGATGAGTGATGGTTTTTATCCAATAGATTTAAATTAAACTATTGAAAATAGCAATTTGTCATTGCTGACATGCAATGGGGGTTTTCATTGTTGTCCTGTGTCTAATATCCTATGTGTATTGTTTAAATTTACATTACATATATACAGTAATTGTTACCAAGTGATGCGGGAAAGATTTGTCCTACATAGATGTTCATTTATCTAATATTTGTATGACTGCTATGTATTTTATAGTCTATCTTGTCATTGTAGATGCCACAGTTCTGGTGCCAAAACAGGATCTGGACCTTTACCACACAACCAGCATTGTGTGTCGTCTGATGACAAACTGCCAGGTGGCCCACAACTGGTGTATCCACAAGTCACAGGCGTTTCTTGCATCTTGGGCGGTCGGAAACTTCCTTCTTGTCACACAGACAGACCTTAAGGTACAGTCTTTAGCATCATTGATGATTATCAGTGTTGCGTTTTCCCCATAGGAAGAATTTCATAGCTCTGGTATAACAGGAATCTCTATTGTTGATTTGTTGCAAGAAATCTGGATGAGAATTAAGCATAATTGGTCTAATTTCCGTTGATCAGAGATTTTGCATAAGTCACAAAATTTTAAGTAGCATTTTAGATAAGGATTTGAAAATAAGTTAGTCCCAGTTAAAAAAAGATAAGTCGGGCTGCCAATAAATTAAAAGTCCAGTAGTAATAAACAAAATGTAATATGTAAAAATTCTTGTTTTGCAGCTTTTGGCTGATGAAACCAAAAAGGCACTGTATCAATCAAGGATCTTCAGTGGAAAGTCCATTAGCAAGCCATCTCAAGCAGAACAACAAATGATCATTTATCTCGAGGAGATAACTCAACAGATGTCTTCAGCTGATTCACAACTGCAGGTAAAAATGAGCAGAGATTTCCTATGGTTCTCTTAGCACATTAACTTCCTTATAAAGAAGAAAATATTTAACAAATGTGAAACAATTTATATTGCCCCAGTCCAATTCTTTCTAATATTGAAAAATCTTCAGTTGTGTTTTATCAGAAATATATATCATCAGTGTAGAATAACATTTTATATTTTTCTATATATAAAATGAAACTGTTGTGTAAGACCTTTTTATCCATGTATGAAAAGTTTATGGACATGCTCTGGTATACAAGAAAATATTATTTGAAATGCACACCAAACCCAGTACATTCATTTTTTAGAGAGATCCCTTGGACGGCATTCTGATTGTCTCTGCCCCATGAAAAAAAAGAGAGAGAGATCTTTCAGACTTTTGCAATTTCACTAGGAGACGTAAATAATCTACAGTTAATACCTGTTGTAACAGATGATAATGGCAAATAGAGTCAACAGATCAGTGTTTTGACCAAAGCCAGCTGACCACTCAACAGATAATGTCATCACTCTTGCTTTCTGTAACTCTTCTGTAATGTCATCTGTTGTATTGTTAGACACTGTCTGGATCCTCCATGAAGATTTTCTGTGAAAACTGTGAGAAAATGGCAGATGAGAACTTCAAGAAATCCATGCCTGTGGGGAAAGCATGGAAAAAGAAAACTGCACCAGGTTTGTACAACTTTGTATCATATCATTAAACATATTCCATGCAGAAAATGACAATAAAGACAACAGCAAAGACATTTTAAATCACCCTGCGTCCGTGGTCTGTGATCCCCTCCATCCATCATTCCGTCCGTCCTTAAACAATTTTTGCTAGCGCTATTTCTTAGAAAGTACTGAAGGGATCTTAACAAATTTCACATGAAGGTTCCCCATGGTCCCTAGTTATGCATATATGTTTTTTTGGGACTGATCACAAAACCAAGATTGCCAACAGCCAGACATCTTTAGTTTGAGATTTTAAGTTTGTTAGCATTATTTCTCGGAAAGTATTGAAGGGATCTTTCTCAAGTTTTAACATTAAGGTTCCCCATGGTCCCTATGTGCATATCACTTTTTTGGAACTGATCGCAAAACAAAAATGGCAGACAGCCAGTCATCTTTAGTTTCAGAGTTAAAGTTTGTTAGCGTTATTTCACAGACAGTACTTGAGGGATCTTTCTCAAATTTCACATGAAGGTTCCCCATGGTCCCTAGTTATGCATAACGTATTTAGGACTGATCACAAAACCATGATGGACAACAGCCAGGCATCTTTAGTTTGAGAGTTAAAGTTTGTTAGTGTTATTTCTCAGAAAGTACTGGATGGATTTTTCTCAAATTTCACATAAAGGATTCCCATGGTCCTTAGTTCTGCATTTTGAATTTTGGGGATGATTGGAAAACCAAGATGGCCAGCAGGTGGTCATATTGCATAATGTTAAAAAAGTATCGGAGGGATCTTTCTCAAATTTCACATAAGGGTTCCTCTTGGTTCTTAGTTATGCATATCAAATTTTTGAACTGATCTGAAAACCAAGATGCTGCCATCTTGTTCCAGTTTGAGTTTGTTATCGCTATTTCTCAAAATGTACGGGAGGAATCTTTCTCAAATTTGATATATAGATTCCCCTGGGTCCTTAGTTGTGCATGCTTAGTTTTGAGGTTGATCAAATGACTGCTTAAGATGGCGGACAGGCAAACTGATCAAGCAGATAAGAGTTCAAATTTAAAGAAGAGAAAGGATCAAACTGACATAGAACTGATGAAGATGGTACGATGGTGGACGCCAAGATCCCAAGCTCTGGGATCTCTTGTTATCTTTTGCAACAAGCTACAAGACACAAATTTAAGTTATTTGTACAGAGCAAGGTTTTGTGATATATATTTAAGCTCCATGGTTTAAATGATTGATTTAAGAACTACAAAATTCAAATATATTATTTACCAAAACCAATAAAATGTTTTGCAATGTTATCTCAAGCAAGATTATATTAATTTTGGGAATAGTATTAGAACTGCCAGTGACTTGCTAATATTTTGCTACTATGAAATACTGTACATGTACATTGTATGTGTAGCTTGATTATCATGAATCCATGGTATACTTAACTACGAAGTTGCAATTGGTTTTAAATTCTTTATTTCTTACTTTTCTTTTCAATCCTATATTTTGGTGTACTGGGTGATGATTTTTAGCTCACCTTCCCGAAGGGAAAGTGAGCTTATGTCGTGGTGCGGCGTCCGTTGTCCGTCCTTCCTCGTCCGTCAACTTTTCCTTTAAACAACTTCTTCTGAAGAATGGAAAGGCCTAGAGTCATGATATTTGGCTGAAAGCTTTGTAGGTAGGAGCCCTACCTAGTTTGAGAACGAAAATGACCTTGACCTACAGTACACTTCAGGTGATTTGGTACTGAAACCCCGCGCGGGCGACAGTCGTCGCGCAGGCGAAGGGGATTAAAGCCCCACCGAGAAATCACCTGAGCAAAGTCGACTATTTCATGCAATACAATATAGTAGTAGAACGTGGTACGTCCGAAAAAATATCATTTACGTTTACGTAAGATTATCGTGTGGAAATCGGTCGGAATAAAACAATTATGTAAGGTAACAATAACTAACGTCTCTGAGTAACCCGAGGCTATCTTTCAGTTGTTTAAGCAGCACACTGTGTCTTGGATGGTCAGCTATTTGCACCAACCATTCTTGCTCTATTTTGTATTCGAAGTCAGAAGGTTGCATAAATTCACGAAAGAAAATCAGCTGCTTTCGACGACCTAGTTACAGGTGGCGCTGTTGATGTACATTACGTAATGCGATGTCAATCAGGTGAAGCCGAAATACTTTGACGAGTATCGGAGATGTGTAAAATTCTTCCATTTTTCTTGTGTGTACACTTTGTTTGAAAGTTTATAGGGAAATATTACGAACCAGTATAAAACAAAATGTCTGTCTCCAATTAGCGTAGTGATAGAGCCTTGTGTCCGGTTGGCCTTCAAACTTGACAGATTGATTTGGAGATATGCTTTCAACCCTAGAATTTAATATTTCGTCCAAATGTGACTGATTTTGGCTAGTCCATTATCTAACAGAGGGTAAAAAGCGTTTGTGACACTACTGGTACCGGCGGCGGCGACCCTTGACCCACAGCAGGTAGCTAGCTGCCTGCTAACAGGGTGCAGGGGGGTCTCAAGTTGTCAAGCATGGTTAGCTTTACCATTCTACTCGTGTGGTAATGTACTGGACATATTCATCTTTAATGTATAAACAGGAAACTGTACTTGAAAATTATAGAACAATCTGGAACAATTTTAATTATAACAGTAAGAAGAGTCCAAGCGCCAGTTGTTGTTTTGGCTAGTAAAAAAAGGACGTTAGTGTCTCAAATAATGGACAAGCCTACCAGATCATTTGATGAGGTGAACTGTGACCTTGCTACTGACAATTACGCAAGAAGTTGAAGAACAAATCTTGCTGCAATCTCATGTCTTAGTTTATTATTGTTATTTTCATCGTGCAGGCGCAAAGCTTTCTAGCTATATGCAAATGAGTACATATAATTAGGAGTAAAAAAATATTTAATATACGTGTATTTCAAACCTTTCTTGGGTAAGTAAAGTAAAATTCTAACTTTTTTTCCAAAATTAAAATTAGAGACATAAATTACTTCTGCTTAAATCTAATCGCCAAATTTCCAGAAAACACGGGAATTTGATCCAGAGACCTTGAGTTCAAAACCCTTCCTTTGGGAGGCCAACCCCCAGCTGGGCCTCGCACCCCCCACTACTTCCGCTACACTTATAAAAGCATATAAGCAATTAAATTGAAACCATAGTTTCTCTCACCTGTGTTTAACACCTGCCAATCAAACTATTTTGATACAATTGAAAGTACCCTACCTGGACGGCAATACAACATACCCCCTCACCCCCTCCAAACAGGTGTGAAACTCACGGTACCTGCTTTTCGCCTTGGGCTGTATATTTTGTACAGGAATGGCGATTTTAAAGAGAACTGCAATACAAGCATTTCTTATATGATACTAACAATACGTACTCGGTACGATAACGAGTTTCATTATTTATATAACCGAACTTTTTTGAGAAGGCAATTAACGCGGAAAATTAACCTGGTAAGAATTGCAACGGTCACTGGTCTACGATCAGAGTTGTACGATGTCTATATACAAAAGAGTTAATGAAATATTCCAGAGATCGTTTTTCACTAATTTCTGTATTTAAAAAGTAGTCACTCACTTCTCTGGAAATGGTACACATATTGTTGAATTCTCATTATTTTTAGAGGAAAAGAAAATTTAACATACATCTGATTAACAGAAAGTAAAAATAGAACGTAGAACAACTTGGAACTCTTCTTCGTTTAGGAAATATTTATTAAGTATTGATAATACATAGTTTTAACACATATAAGGATCATTTTGACACTATACCAACGTATGAAAATGGATCACAACGTTAGTTTGAATTTTTATACAAATCTAAGGACCGGCATGGACTTAATGCGATTGATTTTTTTCTTCAAAAAGTATTATACATAGAAACAACATATATTTGTTTTTAGTATGAAAATATGTCAAAAACTGAAATATTCTTGTAGGAACATGAGCTGGTCTTACGATGATACTGTGTATGTACATGTATATATATTTATAATTTATGCATGACCATCCATGAAGGAGTACGGTATATTAGACGAATTTAAATTGAAACCTAACAGTGTCAAAGGAATCATAATTAAAGAAATGCGATACAGTTAATTTTCAAAACGTAGTTGGTCTAAAACTTCTAAATTATATTCATATTTAATTCTGATTTTGTTATATATATAATTTTGTATTGCAATAGTTACACATGAAATCATACGAATACTTGTTGTCTCCGATTGATACACACGGAATAAAATAAGATTAGGTAACTTGAAATTAGCGAGGTCCATGTTACAGGTAGGAGAAACCATATTAAACATTTATTTAAAGTGTAGACTTGTAAGGACCAATATTTTCATTCTGTTCTTAATTTTATACAACCGTCTTTTTTATTTTTCATTTCTACAAACACACAAAAAATACGAAAATTTGGGGAATCGAGTGGGCGGCACCATCTAATCAGTCGCATGATGCGTTGTATTGCGTAAGCTCCGCCCATTATGACAGGAGGGCTACTGTGCTGAGGTGTGAGGTGTGATTGACGTTTGAGACCAACCAATATTTTTTGGTGATTTCACAGTGCAGGGACAGTCGGCTTGTCCGCCTCGGTAGATTTTTCAATAAACTTATGTTAAGATAACATTTTATACAATGTATACTAAACAGAGACACTTATAATGATGTGTTAATTAACGTACCGGTCCTTTTCAATTATAATCTAGATTGTTTAAAGGGGAAATCGTGTTATCTAGTCAAATTAACCGACACTTGCACATCGTAAATGTTGCCCCAATGTTTATCATGTTACAAGGCAGTGCTACTTTATATTAAGCATACATTGGTAATTTTAAATAGATCTCGTGGAACTCGTTTCTTTTTAAATATCCACTACAAGACGGGTTTCCCCCCCTAGTATGTGCTGGCATTTCTTTTCCGTTAGGGAAATTCAAGTAGCGCTTTTTGTTCGGTGTGCCGATTGTTACTGTGCATCTGTGTTACCGTAGACAGGAACAGCGGCCACAGCAGACACAAACATGGCCCAAATTTTGAATAAAACTTGAACTAGTAATATACTGTATTTTCTCTGTCCAGACTTAATCCCAATCACCCATGAACGCGGGATAGTCGCGGAGGGCTTATCAATGTAAAGCCGGCGGATCTACCTTGATATAGCCGGCGTTTCTTCCGCGATCATCCCGCGGCTACGAGCGACAGGGATTAAAATTTGTCGCTCGGCGGGCGACTGAGTACCAAATCACCTGACGCGTACTGTACTTTAAAGGTCACAGGGGTCAAATATGTCAAAAACTTCAAACAACTTCTTCTGAAGAACTGAAAGGTATAGAATCTTCATATTTGGCTGATGGCTTCCTGGGATGGAGCTTAACAAAGTTTGAGAAAGAAAATGACCTTGACCTACTTTCAAGGTCACAGGGGTCAAATGTGTCAAATACTTCAAACGACTTCTTCTGAAGAACTGAATGGTATAGAATCTTTATATTTGATTGATGGCTTCCTGGGATAGAGCCCGACAAAGTTTGAGGATAAAAATGACCTTGACATTCTTTAAAGGTCACATGAGGCAGGTATGTCAAACACTTCAAATGACTTCTTCTGAAGAACTGGAAGTTATAGAACCTTAATATTTGGCTGGATATTTTTTGGGAATGAGCCGTACAAAGTTTTCGAATGAAAGTGACCTTGACCTACTTTCAAGGTCACAGGAGTCCGATATGACTAACGCTTAGAACAACTTCTGAAGAACTGAAAGGTATAAAATCTTAATATTGGGCTGGTGACTTCCTGGGATAGAGCTCACCAAAGTTTGCGAATGAAAATGACCTCAACGTACTTTAGAAGTCACAGAGGTCAACAACATTTTAATGGATTTGTTCTTAAGAACTAAATGGAATGGATTCATAAGATTTGGCTGGTAGCTTTTGGAATAGAGCTTGCCAATTTAAGAAGGAAAATGACATTGACCTACTTACAAGGTCACAAGGAAAAAGATGTCAAGCAACGTCTGAAGAAGCAAAAAGCAAAGAATCTTATAATAATATTTTGCTGGTAGTTTCACCAGATGGAGCCAACAAAGTTTGCGATGGAAATATTTTTAGTGCAATATAATATTTAATGAGAACATTTTGCTATGACTGCTTAAATATTCAGGTGAGCGATACAGGTCCTCTTGGGCCTCTTGTTTGTTCCAGTCTTGATTACCATAACCTTTTTGAAAATGTGATTGCCTCATGCAAATGAGATTTTTATTGTTGTGATTCAGAGCTTCCAACAGAACACAGTCTGTACATAGAACATGCTTTAGAGGCCATTTTGGAGCCTGTAGTTGAGGGAGTGAGTAAACTAAGACAGACAGCACAGCTAAGTGCTATCTCCATGGCAACTACCTCGTTGTGTGAATCATGGAAAAACTTCATCCTCAAGGAGAAAATCAAATTTAGGTGAGTTGGATTTGTTGTAATCAACAGAGTTCTTAAGAAGAAAGTCATAAGGATGTGAGCTGGGTGTGTTGTCAATACCCTATTCCTGGACCAGCAGAATTATACAGAACTCATCCTAACAATTAAATTACCATGAAAGGTCAAATTTATTTTCAATTCTAGAATTATAGTTTCAGATTTTACTGAAAAAAAACTTGTTTAATATACATGTATGTTAGCTTACCATCGGCAGACAGTTACATTGTAGCTGTCCAAGTCACTTTTTGTCTTTGGTCCACCATCCTTTGTTGAGTTAAACAATTCATGTTATCACTATTTCCCATAAAAAACTATACAGATATTTCTTAAATTTCAAATGTAGCTTCCCAAGGGAAACAGAAGAACAAGATCATATGATCAACCCAATATAAAATTAATGAAGATGTTACAATGGGGGGGTGAAGGTCCCTCTTGGATCTCTTGTTTATATATATAAATTATATATTCTCTTCTCATTGATTTTTCTTTGCAAAATACAACGTAGGAATGCAGTAATTTGAAGTGTACTAACAGGAAAAATAAGCAAAGGAGACATAACTGGTCTGTTATATACAAAATTAATTATACAAATAATCTAGATCGCTGAAATTCTAGGAACTGAAACAAAAATTAACTAAATGTAGTTTTTTTGATGCATTTATATTGTCAACCGGCTTTCAGCACTTCAAACATAACATCTAGAGCTATACTTCTTAATAGATTTTTGTTCTGTTTGTATAAGATTGCTGCTGTATGTGAACCAATGAGACAACACTATAAGATAACAAAATTAATATTTCAGCTACATTGGTGCTTACCAGCTTGGAATTGACCTGAATTTCGTCAAGAGATGGCTTAGTGAATACATCTCCAACTCAGATGTGCGTCAGAGCATCCTTGATCTGAGTGTATTTCGGTACCTGAGCGGTGCTGTTATGGTGTTGAAGAAACAGCCTTACCGCAAGGGCGGGGGAAGGCTCTTCCGTGAACCCTGCTCTTCCGAGGATCTAAGTATGTAGAATTTTATATCTCCTGTAACAAAATTAAGTAGGGATATGCTAGAATCAGGGTGTCTGTCCATCTTAGATGGAAGTTGTAGTCTGTCACATAAATTACATATACCCCTCTCAACATGAACTGGAGGAGGGAGGAGTCTATTTGTGTCTTGTCTGTCTGTCCGTTACACTCCTGATAGATTTTAATGAAAATTGACCAGAATGTTTGCCTTTTACTTACCTTGAACAGGTTACTGTATTGACTGCTTTACTGAACAGATTTTCATTAAACTTTACAGGTATGTTAACCTTTTCCATAACTTAGACAAGTTTAAATACGGGTATGATGTTTAAAGTTCAAGGTCACTTACTAGAAATAGAATTTCAACATTTATTCAGAAGAGACGGAGGATTATGAAGTTTGCTCATCTACTCTAGTTTTCTATTGTTACAGTCAGTACATCAATACGTAGTACATTAATGCATCAAGTTTTAAGTTGTACAACATTTTGTTATACAATGATTGAATAAACTTTGAAAAAAAAACTTGTGAGGTTATTGTCAAGTTTTCTGCTGTAGCTCATAGGGTATAGTTTGAAGTTAACTCAATAAAATGGATAAATGTGGCAATTATTTACATCATGGATGAAACTTGATTTTATTAATCTTGACCAATATATAATAAGTTTATAGTTTCACTTATTTGATATCATATTAAGGAATGTATACTGTAATATTAATAAGTGTAAACAATGTTGTATGTATATTTTGTGATTTAGTTGGTAGATTTAGATAGACATGATGTAACTTTGTTATACCTTAACAAGTTGTGGACATGATGTAACTTTGTTATACCTGAACAGGTTGTGGACATGATCTAACTTTGTTATACCTGAACAGGTTGTGGACATGATCTAACTTTGTTATACCTGAACAGGTTGTGGACATGATCTAACTTTGTTATACCTGAACAGGTTGTGGACATGATGTAACTTTGTTACACCTGAACAGGTTGTGGACATGATGTAACTTTGTATACCTGAACAGGTTGTGGACATGATGTATCTTTGTTATACCTCAACAGGTTGTGGACATGATGTAACTTTGTTATACCTTAACAGGTTGTGGACATGATGTAACTTTGTTATACCTGAACAGTTTGTGGACATGATGTAACTTTGTTATACCTGAACAGGTTGTGGACATGATGTACCTTTGTTATCCCTTAACAGGTTGTGGAGATATGGAAGCGGTCCCTCGGGATAACAAGAGATATCATATTAAGGAATGTATACTGTAATATTAATAAGTGTAAACAATGTTGTATGTATATTTTGTGATTTAGTTGGTAGATTTAGATAGACATGATGTAACTTTGTTATACCTTAACAAGTTGTGGACATGATGTAACTTTGTTATGCCTGAACAGGTTGTGGACATGATGTATCTTTGTTATCCCTGAACAGGTTGTGGACATGATGTATCTTTGTTATAACTGAACAGGTTGTGGACATGATGTATCTTTGTTATACCGGAACAGGTTGTGGACATGATGTAACTTTGTTATTCCTTAACAGGTTGTGGACATGATGTAACTTTGTTATACCTGAACAGGTTGTAGACATGATGTAACTTTGTTATACCTGAACAGGTTGTAGACATGATGTAACTTTGTTATACCTGAACAGGTTGTAGACATGATGTAACTTTGTTATACCTGAACAGGTTGTGGACGTGATGTAACTTTGTTATACCTTAACAGGTTGTGGACATGATGTAACTTTGATATACCTGAACAGGTTGTGGACATGATGTAACTTTGTATACCTGAACAGGTTGTGGACATGATGTATCTTTGCTATACCTGAACAGGTTGTGGACATGATGTATCTTTGTTATCCCTGAACAGGTTGTGGACATGATGTATCTTTGTTATAACTGAACAGGTTGTGGACATGATGTATCTTTGTTATCCCTGAACAGGTTGTGGACATGATGTAACTTTGTATACCTGAACAGGTTGTGGACATGATGTATCTTTGTTATAACTGAACAGGTTGTGGACATGATGTATCTTTGTTATCCCTGAACAGGTTGTGGACATGATGTATCTTTGTTATAACTGAACAGGTTGTGGACATGATGTATCTTTGTTATCCCTGAACAGGTTGTGGACATGATGTATCTTTGTTATCCCTGAACAGGTTGTGGACATGATGTAACTTTGTTATACCTGAACAGGTTGTGGACATGATGTACCTTTGTTATACCTTAACAGGTTGTGGAGATATGGAAGCGGTCCCTCGGGATAACAAGAACTCTGACCGCTCTCCAGATGCTGAAACTGACATTGACAATCCAACAGATGAGTCTGACATTCGCTATGTTCAAAACATTGATGATTGGCTGGCACTGAGAGTCCAAGGTGGAGCTAAGACTTGGCGTTTCTCCCTTTGTCTCAACACCCCTGCTACCAACCAATGAAAACTGATGTGATGGTTTCTAACTTTAAAATCAACCATTGGAACCTACTGTTATTATTAACAATATGAAAGCCGAAAATTTCAGCTGATAAGAAGGATGTGTGTTTAGATGAAGAATATAACAACAGAGATTTGTGTCTCACTGGTGTATGTTGAATAATTAAGTAAGAATACATTCTATGACTTCTTATCTGTCAAGTTTTCCATCTTTGAAATAAAAATAGATCATGCTAAACTTATATAAAGTTTACTATAAAAACTGATATTAGTAAGCCATAGATAAGATTTATATATGCATCTTTGTATAATACAGAAAAGTCAATGATCAGTTATCCAACCATTTAGTGAAACTTTGTCGTGAAATCTTAATTGTATCCAAATTTGGATATTAATTTTTAATATTTAAAATACACCATAGCTAGATGTATTATTAAGTGAAATTTTCGATAGTTTAAAGATACTCATTGCTATAGAATATGGCTTCGCAAAATATATTCATGTAACTGACTTATTTATATGTTCATTAACTGTGATATTGAAAGTTAAGAATTAACACAGATTTTTTTAAGCAAGGAAAGACATTTATTTTAATAGATGCTGAAAATATTTGACTGTATGTGCTGCCGAAAATATTTGTTTCAAAAGATGTGCTTTTGTTATTTGACGAGTAACACAATCAAAGTAGTAGTAGTAAGTAAATATGTACTAAGGTGTGCGTTGTGATCTCCCAATCACAGTCTGCTTCTCTCATATCGACTCCATGGAGCTCTATGATTGACATGAGATGATAATACAGTATATTGAAAAATTCTTGACTTTAAAAGGTATGGGAGTCCCGACTGTCTAGATAAACGGCCAGTGATATTTACCACAAGGCCAGGTTATGCTACATTTATAGACACGGCCAGTGATATTTACCACAGTGCCCGGTAATGCTACATTTATAGATAAGTTTTAGTTTGTTTTCAGTTGTCCTTTTTAACAATTAATTTTCCTGTGATTTCTGATTAGTAGAATTAGGAACAACAATACAATAAATGTTTTGTAAACATGTTTTTAGTAGTTGTAGCATAAAGGACAAAATCTTCACTGTTAGATTGCCAAGGTTATTTTTTAACAAATAATTCCAAAATGTCAAAGCTTGGGATATCTTAACATCAAGAGAAAGCCAATATGCCAAGAATATTTGTTATACATTTATCTGGCTTAACTCCTCTGGTTTTGGTTTTTCACTGTAACTGGAAACCCTTTTGGTCAAATTCTTCCATTTCCCATCAAAAAGATCTATCTCTGGAGGTCCAGTTTGATGTACATTTCAGGGACAAACCTACATTAAGCTTCAATGATTGACAACTTCATCTGAAATATTCACACCCAGCAGGAGCTGAAATCAACTACAATATTTGGTCTGATAGATCAAATAAGATTTCAAATATTACAATAACATACCTCTGTAGGGCTAATTTTCAATTTTTCCCATGGTTTTTCAAGACACATTTCCATGAAAAAGTTGTACTTATCTTGATGATTTGTTTTTGGAAGGGATGTTGAATCTAAAGGCTATACATGTATTGTGATAGCTTTTAAGTCGTTTTTCAGTTGTTGTTGGTTTTTTTGATGACTTCTTTTTGTAATTTTCTTTTAATGACATGTTGAATGTGTATTTAGTTTTTAATCTATTTTGGATAATTTCTACTCATTCTGTAGTGCTGCCATGTCTGTATATAGGGTTTGTGCAATGTTTGTTTTTCCTCATTGATAATGGCATTTTCAGTTGTGTATACTGTACTTTTAATTGGTACAAGGCTTAGAACTGTTCCTACCTCTCATGATTTGAATCATTTTGTTTTTACAAACATAGTTACTGTGTGTACTGCATTCACTCTTAGTCAAGTATTGTGTTGTAAGAAATCTTGGTATTTATTTTGTGTTATTGGAACATTCCTATGCTGTTTTATGTAGTCCGTCCTTTGTCAATGTTTCTGGTTTCAGTAACTGTCTGTAAAATCTCTGCTTGTTTGGTAGAACATGTACCTGGTAGTAAGAATCTATATGATTCTAGTATAGATTGAACTGCACACATATACTTCTAGTGAGTAGTCCTATGTCAGGCCAAGTAAAATTGAATTTTATGTAGCTTTCAAATGTTTATTTTCAGTTATTTTGGCAATAAATTTGGTAATGTGAGCATAAACTATGCATGTGTTGGTGCCTGAGAAACTGTTGTTATTTCATTTGGCCTTAGATGTATAAGTCCTCCAATGTTATAGGTACTGGGTCCTAGTGTTGAGTCTGATTCATTACAGTGACAGTAAAGTAAAACTGTCCTGTTGTGTACAATGTATTAAAACATTGTACACAGATTCAAGAAAACTGCAAACAAGAAAAACGAAAACAGTATATTTGTACATTTTTGGAGAAACTATTTTGAACATTTTTGTGAGTACATGTACCTTGTTCAGTTGAGAAATGATTGAACAACTCAACCCTGTACTCATAATAGATTTACTATTAAATCCCATAGTTAATATGATTTTAAAACATTTAAAATGTAATTCTTTCCGAAAATTTTAAAATTCAATCCATGATCATTGCATGATTTTTTAAAAACTTTCTTACTCTCCAATTTCGTTAGACATTTTCTGAAAAGCAATCTTCATTTCATAAATTTTGTTATAGATATTTTCTCATTTTATGCATAAAGACATGATTGCATTTGTTTAAAACTAGGGTGAGGTGTTTTCATGATAAAGCCAAAAAGTATGAGGGTACCAGTTATTTTAGAAGCAAAATCAAAATTGTTTGGGTCAGTAATAACAGTAAAAAGTTGTACCTTGTATTTATAATCATGATGTTTTCTTTTTTCAAAAAAACAATGCACAGACTGTCAATGGTGACAAATTCATTTATTTTATTTATGTGTTAAAATCAATTCACTACAAAGTACCATCATTGTTATCAAGTGCTATTGTTGATGACTTTATAGTGAAGGTATGTTCTAGACATTCTGTAATCCGCCATCTGCTTGTGTGGTTCCTCAATTAAAGGAAATGATGTTGTAACAAGATGTTCTAGCCTAAAAACTCCATATGATTAACTAGAATGAATGGAACAACCAATAGTTTCCATAAGTTCATGATGACCAAAAACTACATAAAACCCTGGAGTACCAAATAGCTTTACGGACACTTTACTCCGAAATTAATATGAAGCTGATGGTAAATTAATATGAAGCTGATGGTAAATTAATATGAAGCTGATGGTAAATTAATATGAAGTAAATTAATATGAAGCTGATGGTAAATTAATATGAAACAATTACTTTAATGTGTTTGGGTGAAAAATGGAGGTAACAACAGGTTCAGAACTAACTATTATTTTTCTTCCAAAGCATTTATCTAGTTGATGACAAGGATAAAGTGTAACCTTAAGACTGGCAATAAAAAAGACCAATTTATTTTCTTGTAATTGTTTGAAATCACTCACAACTAAATGTGTACAGAAGTACATGTACTACTAGATTTGGTCCTTAAGATTATTACCTACAGCTGATAGTCAATTTTTGATATAGTTAAAAGACAAGCAAATTAGACACAAATGTGATTATTAAATAGATCAGTCTCTACTTGTGCAGAACCAATACAACAACTTTCAGGCTGTTATTGTAGTTTAAGATGAGCTCAGACTTTTTAATCATGAAGTGTTTCTGATAATCTATTTGATGCCAAAACAGAAATGATCAATTTGCTTAATAATTGTGCTGATCACAAAGTTAGTGTTAATCTAATAGTGCTTCTCGCGTTTCTAGTCATCATTTCCTCTTACTATGATACTATTGACTTCTATTTCAGTGTTTTTCAGACATTCATGTGGTAGCGTATTGTTTTGTCTTAAAATATCTAGAATTGGCTATTAATATATATTATATGTGTCTCAGATTAACTAACTTAGGTAAATACCCAATACAACACAACATATACATATGTTTAGATGCTCAACCAATTTGTCTATTTTGGCTTGTGTTTACCAGCCCTTTTTTGAGAGATGTTCTTATATTTCGCTTTCTTTTCTTTTCTTAAAGCCATTGACAAATAGAACAGAAGGTAAAATGATCGTATGTACAATAACAATGCCAATGGCATATTGCATACATCTCAAAGTTTTTCTATTTTTTTTTGGATAGGAATGAGAGAGGAATGAGAGATGAGTTTTTTCATAAGCATGAATTTGGTGACATTTTGTAATCCTTGTATTGTCCTTGTGTTAGTCAGGGTAAAATAGAGCTCTTCCTATTGTATCCATGGTCATTGGTTTAGTCGTACCATTGTACCAGTAATATATTTTGAGATGTTTCCATACATGTCGAGTGTAGGAATGCATGTATTGGACAGAGCTGTGATTTGTATTACAAACTAGTATGTGTCCAGGTTTTGTATTGGTTGATTCGTAAAGATGCAAAGTAACTGGTCAGATAATGTTTGTACCTTTGTTAATTATACCACATGTGCTGAAATTGTAACTTTTATTAAGTTTTTTTTCTAATCCTGAATTATTAAGGAATTTTACCAAAGACTTAAGAGTCTGGGAATATATAAAATACTTTAATATTAGACTCATAATTTGGACTTCATAATTTTAACTATTTAATAAACTTCATAATTAAACTGACTAATTAATATTAAAAATATAAAAAATAATCATGTCATCTCTCCGGTATTATTGTGCCCTAGATAAAAAGGTAAAAATTGATATAAGGGAGATAACTAAACACAAATCACAAGTACAAGTGTATGGTAGTATTTATCCTTATTATTAATAACGTTATTTGTTGTTTTAAGTTTATGTTTGTTTTTAATCCTTTATTTTGTTGTCTTATAAAAGCTGTCTCTAATAAGTAGGATTACATGTATGACTTATAGCAAGTAGGGCTGTATTCTTTAATTTTCTAATTTTAGTAATTGTAGCTTCTCTTGAAATCATATTAAATACCTGAAGTCGATAAAATACAGCTTTAGTTTATCCTTCTTCAAATTGCTTTTTTTTTTAAAAATATCAGTTGATACCACTAAAGGTATACATTGTTTATAGTAGCTATTACACCACATCTTATACACAGGCATTGCTATCAGAATAAAATCTACACATGTACTACATTTTGTAATCAAATTGTCAACACAATTCATATTACATAGTGATAGTGATGGTGTAATAGCTACTATAACAGGTTTATCTTTTAGACCATGATCCAGTACTTTCATTTATATGTATTTCATATGTAGTTTGCATGCATGGCCCGACAAGTTACATCATAAAACCAAACCGTATTCACTAATGGTGATAGTGTTATATGCCTTTGTATCTAAACCAATTCATTTATAGTTTTTTTGAAAGCAAATATTTGAATTCCACATTTTATATGAAGAATTGTACCCCCACTAAATTGTCCATTTGACTTATACATAACTATTATCACTAGAGACATGTACCATATATTCAAAACTATGATCAACCTTTAAACATACATTTATGATATAATTACACTTACAGCATGATATGTGTTTATAAAATACCTGTATAGATAGAGAATTACAATTTTATACAATAACAAGAAATATCTTTTAAAGACATATGAACATTTCTTCTTTTATAAATAGACCTAATAATCTAGAGGAACTTTTAAGTATTAGTTGCAATAGATAAATAGAGTTATTGCCCTTTATATACTACATGGTTCATGGTTTGGATTTGTCCTTTTTAATCCCAGATAATCTGTTATCACAAAGAAACACCCAGCTCAAAATAACGCCCATATCTTTATATATACATCATAGAGATAAGAATGAATCTATATATACCAGCCAAGGAGAAAAATGCAAAAATACAACAGTACATGTACATAGATTTACTTGTATACTAAAATTTTATTGAATATTGCATCTTATACAAATTCAAAAGGAATTTGGCAACAGGTGTAATGCCTATACGAGCCCTCTCCTATTACTGGTATACTGTGATCTCTTGTTCAATAATCCAGTTGTAGGCACAAACATTGATTAATAGATACAGAGATACCCCCATACTAGTTAATCTGTAAAAACCAGCAAATCAGAACCAAAAAAATCAAAAAGGGCGGAGATTTAACTAAAGGTAGCTTTGTTGGTACTACAGAGTCGGTCAACCAGCCGAAGAACGAAAATATTTTTTGTTTTCAAATGTATGAATATCACACTTTAAAAGAACCCATTAGATTGTGTAAGCAGATTTCATCTTTATATCAACATCAAAATTATAATTTATCCTTATTTATACAGATTTGTATTCAAACATTTTAAATATTACTTAAAAGCATTTAAATATATGGGCAATTTACTATTAATTAGTTCATGATCATGCAAGTTATTTGTTAAATTATACCCATTTATGAAGGCACCTATCCAAATTATTGAAAAGTTGTACATGTAGCATGAACAAACTTCTGAATCTGATTGGTAGATAAACCTTTCACAATTCATGTCAATATCAATGATATTCATGTTTGTAAATTATAGTTTTGATGCAGGATTGTGACTGTATATTTTGTCGAATTATCCAAAGTTGAATTCCATTTCAAAATGTATTAACATAATAATCATATAAACTTCAATAACTCCCAAATTATTTACCATTTTATTGAACTTTAAATTCATTTGGAGATTTTTCATCAAATGATTGATAAAGCCTTTGCTGTGATATTGGCACTACTCATACTTTTATTTTAATGTGGAGAATGAATACCTTATGATATTAGTACCCAATGACGTGATATTGAATAAATTTACATTTTTAGCTCATCAGGTCCAAATGACCTGTAAGCTTATGTCATGATGCAGTGTCTGTTGTCCCTCTGTCCGATATTTTTGCTTGAATAAGTTTTTCTTTGAAGGTAATGAACATATATGAACATTTGATCAGAGCCATCTTTGGGACAAGGAAACTCATGATTGATTGTTTGTGAGGTGGGACCCAAATTTGGATAAGTTGTAAATGTTTTTGAAATGTAGACTGATCACCAAGGGCCTAAATGAAGCCACACCAACTTGTTATGTATCCATATTGTGACAAAATACATGTAGCTTAGTTTTTAACCTAATAACTACATCTAAAACAAGGACGTTGGAGACAAGTCAGGGGACCTGTTATATTTGGGATTTCCTGTTAATAGGTCAATATAACCAGGTGAGTGATTACTTATTTAATTGATAAATATAGATTATGATGATAGTCTGAATACATACTTAATAAAATGTAATTTTATATTTTGGTTATTTAGGCAGAGACCACCTTTTACCTATATTATATCAACTCTTTAATTACAATGTTATTTATACAATATCTACATGAGTTAGGCTAGATCAAGATTTATATAGTGAATTCAAACATATAACCATTACACTGGAATATACATGCTGCAACAAAGGAAATATTTCACAAAATTGAGAAATGAAATCGGGTAAAATGATAAAAGTAATCTTAAGAATATATTTGCAACAATCAGATTTAAGTATCTCCTCATGAAAATATATCAAATATATTTACTTACATATGCAAAATAAATATGTATAAAAGAAAATGATGAAAATTGTCAATTAAGAAACAGGAGAGAAAATCTCAATTTAAACGTGTTATTTAGCTGTATTTTATCATGTACTAGAGAGTTTATTTATTGTCAAATGCTTTCGTTAATAATTACAATCAATACAATGCAGATGTATTTATGGTGCAGGATTGTTTTCAAAACAACCAGTAATGAACGATAACAAGGTGTTCAGGAGTCATCAGAATCACTCCTGGAAATGTCAAAAAATTGTTTTTAAAAATTCCGATGAGAAGTGAGAAGTATATTTAGAGAGTAACTGTGTGGTATAGAACAGGTCACTTACAATTAGTGCTGTAATGGCAGGAAATACCTGACAGATGTATCTTTGAAAGTGTAAGGTTAGAAACACCTTGGAAAGATACAGGGAAAAGAATGTGTGGGGGAGATGTCAAAATATTGAAACAATATACAGGTAATAAGTAATATACATGTATTGAAAATATTTTTTAGTTTTTGAAAATTGTTTTCCACTCCGACGATAAGAAATATTTGTGGAAGTTGAATTTGAAAAACTACATAGAATGTGTCTTATCGACAGGATAGTGCCCTTATGTCCATCTGTTATGTGGTTTATGCTCAATGCAACCAACCTTTTGTGCCTATAGACTATGATAGCTAGGTCTGCCACCATTACACCTTTAGACAATAGCTCAACACGCACAATCACTGGGCTGTTTATCCATATAGTGCCACAGTTACCTCATGTGGTGTAGTTATTAGTGTTGATGTTTATACCAACCTTTATCATATCGTTCTAGTATAGATATTGTGACATTATCGAGATGTCCAATGTCTGAGGAGAACAAATTCTGAAACATTTATAACATTTTATATATATGTACATGTACTGGTATATATTTTTAAATGACAGGTCAAGATTTTTTTAATATTTTAAGAAAAATAAATTCTTAAAACTCCCATTATGAAAAGAAAATATGCGTTGGCATACCCCAATAATTGTGATTTACCATTGTCTAACGAGTAATTATTTACCAGTGTTTCTGTACCTAGATTTGTAACTCACCGTTGTCGACGTCATACCATTAGTCTTAGACTACTACTGAAAAAACAATATCCTGTACTTATTACAGTTTCTTCTTAGCTTCTAGTTGAACTCATTTCCTTGTTCAGTAACATTGTTGTGAATTTCTACTGTATACCAAGAAATTTTGACCCTGTCAAACTTTTGCCCTTCTCCCATTAACTCAATTTTTTTAGCCTAGTGTAAATTTCGCTCTTCACAAAAAATCACTTTGTGTATTATGTTGTCTCTCTGGTTTCGCTGTAATGATTAACTCACCCTCGTTACAGAGGTTGAAAAAGTCGAAAATTAAATTATAGTGAAAATTTCCCGGTATAAATTATTTGAACCACTGTTGATATTTACAATGATATCAGATCATGTAAATTTATAAAAAATTAGTGCTACATTAAAAGAATGTGAATAAGTTGTGTGTTTAATAGTGACCTTTGTTATGTTAATAATGAAGTGAACCTGGTCCTCATATGAAGTGTTTTCTTGTTGGAATGATATTTGATATTTACCCTTGTGCTAACTCAACAAGTTATGAAAAGCGTTAATTTCTATACCAAGCTTGACCCAAAGTTGTGAAATGATAAAGATGTAAACATGTTGTTTGTTTCCAGACCTGTCATAACACATGTCAGTTTTACCACATTTTTGATACTTGCCAAGTACACCAGAATGACACATTACAAGACAGAATTTGATAATACTATTATATTGTTTTGATATTATTTATAAATCTACAATTACAATAGTTTATATCTTTAATTACAAAAGAACAAAATCAAATTACTGCAAATGATGACAGATACTCCAGAACTCCAGATATGCATGTATTAGTTGTACTTATAATTGATATTAGGGATTTCCAGAAAAACCCCAGAAAATATTGTGGACATGAGTGTGTGTGTGTGTGTGTGTGGGGGGGGGGGGGGGGGTCACAAAAACGTACCTCCTCAAAAAAGAAAAATTAAAAGCACACAAGGAAAAGATTGGTGGGATTAAGAACAGTGAATGGTTCTCGCAGAAATATGATCGGATACAGTAAAACATGGTTACCGCTGGTTATAAACCAGCTAGCTAGCTAGATCTAGCTCTGGCTACCAACGGTTACAGAAAAACAAGGTTACTACAGACACACTTGTTATGAATTCTTGCTTAATGAAAGAGAGGTTATTTTCGATTTGCAAGAAATTGTTTTATGAACATCTATATTCTTAAGTCCCCTGTGGTTCCTCAAAACACGTTTTACTATTCATTTTGTTTTGGTGTAAAAATAACTGACCTTGTGTGCTTATTTTCGCAACTGTTAGTAAAAACGGTGATTTGTACCATCATAAAGATTGACAATAAAACTGTTGGATACTTTGTGCTTACTTGCTGGTAACCACACTGTTGGAAGACATGATCTTGAAACTGTGCAGTAAAATGACACTATTCTGATAATCTGAAGTTAAATTTTAACTTGTGACAATTATGACAAATACATCCATTGATAGGCAAGCAACGCTCCTAACTTCTATAATTGTATCCATAAATGGCACATGCAACACACACAAAATTGGTCAAAAGTGGATATTTGTAAAGAACAGAAAGTGGTGTTTTTGGTGTAATGATAAGTGTCTCGTGATTCTTGTCCCTTGGATATTTACCTGTTAATGTTTAACTGTTGAATAGTATAACTGTGACATATTTTTCCATGATCTTTTATCCTATGAATAAATTAATAAAGTTATGAATTGATATGTGTTGAATTTTTATATGTTTATGTTGCTGTTGATAGTGATGGAAACAATATTTTGTCTGGTGATCAATAGAACCTTGCCCTACCTCGAGTGTGTGACAGAGAAAATTCCAACCTCGGGGTTAGGCAAACAAATAATCACCCTGAAAGTTGGAGACTTCTCTGCTACACCCTCAAGGCAGGGTAGGATTTCTTTTCTCTCTTCATTCCAATACTATGTTTAAAACACTAACTTTCATCATTTGTAATATCTGTTTGTTATCCTGATTTACACATGACCTCTCCTGTCAAGAGTTGATTACGATATCATATCTGATAGTGCCTGTGATGTCATAGTTTTGCTTCTTTCTGTTTGCAATCTGTCATACCCTAGGAGGTGACACATCTTGAACAGGTAAAAGGGAGACAATTCAGTCAAAGATGGGAGAAAAGCTGATCTCTTGTTTAACATTTTACATGGTGTGGCCCTAAATGCCAATATATATTTTACTTCTCTCTTTGTATGGACTTCACCCCATTTCGAAAGTGAAATAGGGTACATTGTGTATCTATGACCTTCCAGCAATGAAAATTGCACTCATGCATGCAGAAATTACTACCAAATGCTTGCACATGAATATCATATTCTTCCAATTTATACACCTAAACCATTTTGATAGGTCAGAATTTCTCACCTAGCAATGGCAGATGTCATGAAAACAGCATGTTCTGTCAACAATAGTAGATCATGGAAGGAAACTCATATGATTAGCTCCAAAAGTTGTGCAATGAACACTGGTATTTGAGATGGAAGAAAAATCATCATTCCTCAATTTGGTAATCTCAACATCCCAAAAAAATATTTTTCACATATTTGTACAGGATGTATTTGTGAAATAATGAACCAAGCTGATTGCATGATGAAAGTAAATAATATTTTGCATAAATACAGTTTATAATCTCAACTTATTAACAAATAACTTTATAAACATAAAAATGTTAAAACATGTTTAATTTTCAATATCTACAAACACGTAACAACAAACAACAAAATGTATCATTAACAATAAAACAATATAGTACTTTTAGTGAAGCCCCCCTGATTTCCCAATTGCTTGGTGTAAGACATGTACTGTACTAGGAGTCTGAAAATATCCGATATCTTATGCTCTTAAATCATTACAGTCATTCTTAAAAGATTCATAGTATCAATAAAAATCACATGAAGCCTTATAAATTGCTACCTGCCAGAATATTTACTGAATACTTGAAAGGGACATATCTGGGCAAGTCTTACCGAATTGATTGAAGAAAATATCCATAACATAATTTAACAGATTTCTGCCCGAATCCAACTACAAGCTGATTATAGATTTCACATCTGAAGGTTAATGTATGACATCACTTTTTGATGGCCATTTTCTTGTTTTTAACCAGTTTATTTGTTTTTGCAGCAATAGCAGGTTGGTCAAGACACGGCCTTTTGTTTGCAGGCTCTTGATTTTCCTGGTCCTCCTCTGAACTGGAATGCTGTAATAACAAACATCATAATCATTCAGTATTGTTTATTTCCTTTAAAACAATAAAGATATTTTTTTTAAATTTTATTTATATGTCCATACAACTTGAATTGTTCAGTAAAACCTCGCTTCACATTTTAATTTTGTGTACAATATATAGCAGTGTGCTTTCCACACCTTTGTTACCAGAGACACGTGTAACTGAAATGGAAATGGCTAGAGCGCCATCCAAAATGTTGTGGAGACACTGTGCTGTGTCATGACAATCAAGTTGCTTATCATAACCAGTTGGAATTCACACTTTTATGTTATTTTCTTGCTGCAGTGCCCTAGAGTTAAAGTAGGCAAACATGAATCACATGATATTGATGGATTTGCTGTACCAATATGAGAGTCTAGAAGGGATGTATTAAACTTGCGAGTGCACCCATCTAGTAACTGACAAAGCTCACCATTGCTCAAGAACTAAGAAAGTTCCCATGTTGTATATTGTATTGTTAGAAAAGCTAGCTTGCCAGAAGGGCAGTATTTTCCCTTCATATATCTTGGTCCGCCGTGTTTACCAATATGAGATAGTCTAGAGGAGTGAAATTATGCCACAAATTCCTGTCCCCATGTTGTCAATAAGAGTGCTAGTATAATTTGATATACATGCCTTGCTGCCATTATCACTGACAACCGTGTCATCTTCAGCATTTCCATTACTGTCTTCCCCCTCGCTGTCTGAGCCTGATACCTCAGCCATAACTTCCTGTACAGCAGCTGTGTTAATACGGAAGTCCCGAGAAGTACTGATTTTAATGTGCTCCATCAGATTAATCTGTAAATATTAAAATGTATATGTCTTAGGCAAAACTATATTGGTTTAAAATGAATATCTCTCATGGTTTTATTCATTTATTTGTTATACCTCTAAATTGGTAGTAGATCCAAGAGAAAGATATACAGAAACAAGGCTTAAAGAAATTGAGAAAAATCTGTCACTATGCAGACATAACACTGCAAGGGAGGAAAGTTTGTGGAAAAAATATTCAAATATTTCAAAAATACAAAAGGTCAATTCTGTTGCCCTTTTCAGATATAAATATAATACTGTATAAATAATGAAAAACAATTATTTTATGAGTGTCCCAAAAAATGCAATTTTTGTGTTCCGACATACAGTATATTCTGCGGATTCAATTTTGATAGAATTCAATAAGAATACCAAACTATTCAACAGTATCCATTATAACAGGATCACTCTGTGTTCCCAACTCTATACATTACCTTAGATTTTTTGGAAAGTTGAATAAGAAACTTTTCAAATGTTTCAATTGCAAATATCAAGTTAGGTATCGTTCTCGACTGCTTCATCACTTTTGCCTGTAAAAGAACAAAACAACATGATTTACATCCATGAGATCATGAATTTCAGAAATAAATCTATAAACATCATATTTGACATGTTTGATAGTGGAGTAACACTACACTTGTTGTACATACCCTGCCTGCCTGGGCAGCAGCTGATGCCTTCTTCTTGTCCTTTTTACCATGTTTCTCCACAGTGTGCTGGATATGTTCACTTTCTGATGTCTGTAAGAAGAAAATCTAATCACTCTCCTATATCTACGACAAATACATTATAATCATTCAACAACATGTACAAAACACACATTATAATCACTATGTCTACGACAAATACATTATAATCATTCAATAACATGTACAAAACACACATTATAATCACTCTTTCATGTCTACAAGAGAAGTAATCACTGACCTGTATATAGGTGATCATGGCGTAGCAATGCTGTGTAAGGTGTGTTCCTGTTAGTTTGATCAGTTTCTCAAAACGAGCAGTCACATGGTGGGCTTTCTGAGCATACATGGCAAGGTACTGCAATGTCAATTAGATATAAATAAACAACACACTTACTGGACGATCTGCAACCATTTATTCTACACTTGGCATTCATAGTAAATAGAAACAAATTCAGCATTTAGTTCAAACTGAATTTATGTATCCTGCATTCTTGTTCAATAGCTATTCAATAGCTTGTTAAATAGCTATAGTCATTGTCCAGGAAAAGTCAGTGGTATCAGATGTTTTGTCACAGTAATGACCTGAACAACCATGACATCAATACCAATGCATACAGCATTTAATTGATCAGTTTTGATAAACTTTATTTACCTTCTTGTTAGAACTTTAACGTTCATGGACCAGAATATTTACTGTACTGGAAAAATCAAAGGTATACCCAAGGTGACTTACATATTTGACAAGAAGTGTTAGGGTGCCGAACAGACGTGTCGCCTGTTTGATCATGGCCTCGACACAGACTCCGACGGGAACAGCTGACTGAATGAGCTCATGGAAGGCCGTTACCAAGATACCCACGCGACTACATATTGATTTCTCGTGACCTTCACGTTGGGTGAGATCGTCTGCGTCTGAAACACATAAAACATCAACAAATAGAAACAGATTAAAGGGAGGTATTACACTGTCAGCACTGCCAAGTAATACAGGCCTCTATCTCCTCTTTGCATAATTTTAAAGCAGTTAGGCAATTAAGGAAAGAAGATTATGACTACCCTACTGTCTTGACGGAAAAGTCAAATGATCCTTTATATAAGTACACAATTTTATCATTTATATAAGTACACAATTTTATCATTTATATAAGTACACAATTTTATCATTTATATAAGTACACAATTTTATCATTTGTTGAAGTACACAATTTTATCATTTGTAGAAGTACACAATTTTATCAAAGTAATTTTCATGATCTGTTCAGAACCTAAATCCTAAAGAAGAATCTGAAGGAATTGAGCAAATCAATATAGTCTCCAAGTGGGTCATTGCATCTATTTTAATCATAATTTTAAAAAGATTACTTATTCGAATGAATACTACCATCATTTGGTGTTTCGGAGAGGATGTTGGCCTTTATCCGTGCGATAGCCCACTCTGTGTCGTCCAGTTCCCTTTCCACCTGTTGTAGGACTAAGAGAAGAATGGTTGGAGCGGCTGTACGGGCAGTGACGGAAGCATGATGGGTTCGATCCTCCACCTCAACATCCTAAAACATACAAACAGTGATGTTAGCGATATAACAATTTCAGCTTAGCTTGCAGTCTTACCTTTTATCTCAGGAACCTGAAATATTTATTTTGAAAATGACTTTTGATCATCAACTTACCTGGTCAATGTCACCGAGCTGGGTGTGGATATCTTGTGATATGTCTCGTAGGTAAGGGGGACAACTCTTTCTCTGCTGGGTCATCTCCAGCAACATTCCAAAGAGCAGTTTACAGGTGGACAAATCATCTGTGCAATAAGGACAGTGAACATAAATGAACCATTTAAAAAAGATCTTCACCCAATGTAGATAAACAATATCTACTAAAAGTCTGAAAATCTTCATCTGATGTAAAGGAACAAGAGATCCCAGAGGGATCTTGTCGCCCACCATTGCACCATCTTCATTAGTTCTTTGTCAGTTCGATCTTTTCTCTTCTTTTCTCTTATCTGTTTGATCATCTTAATCAATCTTTTTATCAACCTCAAAAGTTAACATACACAACTTAGGACCAAGGGGAACATACATATCTAATTTTGAGAAAATTTCCTCCAGTAAATTCCTGAGAAATCGCGATAACAATCTTAAACTGTAACAAGATGGCCGACCAATATGATTTTATATGCATAACTAAGAACAAGAAGAACCCTTATGTGAAATTTGAGAAAGATCCCTCAAATACTTTTTGAGCAATAGGGCTAAAAAACGTTTACTCCCAAATCCAATATGACCACCTGCCAGCTATCTTGGTTTTCCAATCATCCCCAAAATTCGAAATGCAGAACTAGGAACTATTGGGAACCTTCATGTGAAATGTGAGAAAGCCCCTCCTGAACATTCTGAGAAATGACGCTAACAAACTTTCATTCCCAAATTCAAGATGGCTATCTATTGGCCATCTTGGTTTTCCCTTCTGTCCCAAAATTGAATATGCGTAACTGGGGACCATGGGGAACTTTCATGTAAAATTTGAGAAAGACCACTCCAGAACTTTCTGAAAAACAGTGCTTACAAACAAACTCTCAAATTCAAGATAGCTACCTGTCGGCCATTTTGGTTTTGTGATCAGTACCAAAACACAATATGCATAACAAGGGATTATAGGGAACCTTCATATGAAATTTGAGAAAGATCCTTCCAATAAATTCTGGGAAATGGCTACCACTAACAAATTTTAACTCTCAAATTCAAGATGGCTGGCTGTCAGCCATCTTGGTTTTGTGATCAGTCCCAAAAAACGATATTAATAACAAGGAATCATGAGTAACCTTCATGTGAAATTTGAGAAATATCCCTCAAATACTTTATGAGAAAAAGCGCTAGCAAACTTTCATTCCCAAATTCAAGATGGCTTGCTGGCTGTAGGCCATCTTGGTTTTACAATCAGTCCCAAAATATGATATGCATAACTAAAGACGATGGGAAACCTGTTTGTGAAATTTGAGAAATATCCCTCAAATACTTTATGAGAAAAAGCGCTAGCAAACTTTCATTCCCAAATTCAAGATGGCTTGCTGGCTGTAGGCCATCTTGGTTTTACAATCAGTCCCAAAATATGATATGCATAACTTAAGACGATGGGAAACCTGTTTGTAAAATTTGAGAAATATCCCTCAAACACTTTTTGTGAAATAGCGCTAACAAACTTTCATTTTCAAATTCAAGATGGCTGGTTGTCGGCCATTTTGGTTTTGTGATCAGTCCCAAAAAAAGATATGCATAACGAAGGACAATGAAAAACCTGTTTGTGAAATTTGAGAAATATCCCTCAAATACTTTATGCAAAATAGCGCTAATAAATTTTAATTTGAGAAATATCCCTCAAATACTTAATGAGAAATAGCGCTAGCAAACTTTCATTCTCAAATTCAAGATGGCTGTCTGGCTGGCTATAGGCCATCTTGGTTTTGCGATCAGTCCCAAAATATGATATGCATAACTAGGGATCATGGGGAACCATTATTTAGGATTTGAGAAAGATCCCTCCAGTACATTCTGAAAAATAGCCTAACAAACTTTAACTTTTAAATTAAAGATGGCTGCCTGTCGGCCATTTTGGTTTTTTGATCAGTCCTAAAAAGTGATATGCATAACTACGGATCATGGGGAACCTTCAGGTGAAATTTGAGAAAGATCCCTCCAGTACTTTCTGAGAAATAGCACTAACAAGAATTGTTTAAGGACAGACAGAATGACCGAATGACCGACAGACGAAAGATGATTTGAATAGACCACCTCTGATGATGGTGGGCTAAAAATACTGAAATTTTTGAAATCGATACCAAAAGAATTTCTGTGAAAATTAAAATTCTCAATCAACAGATTGCTCACTTGATCAACAAATACAATTGTAGTGTTTTATTTTGAGATTTTATTACTTTCACAAACTATGCATGATCAAAAATTGGTTAAATCAACTGCATTAAACAATATCAAAGTGCCGAGAGTACTCATGGATGCTGTGTATGAAGGATTCAAATAATGGAATAAAGGAGGTGGTATATCAGTACAGAATGGCAGTAAATAATAAAGAACATGTTGTTGAGTAAGGGTCATAATAGCCCATCACTTAATCATAATTTTCAATAAAAATATATATAACAAGCAGAGTATTGCTAAAACAATTGAAACTTGTCTGATATTATGGTCCTTAATTAGTGTTTCAAATCGATGGAAATCCTTCAAGGAATGAAGCTGCTACAGCGCAGACAATGATCTTATTAAAAATAGTAACAGTGTGACCTTGACCAGACAACCCTGCAAACCAAAATTGTCCCGTTAAGATTAAAGGGGCATCACGCTGAAGTAACTTTTTTTTTTTTCTTTTTTCCAAATACTACTTAAACATATCAAGTGAGACTCCTTATGGAAAATGCCGATCGGATTTGGCTGAAATAGATTCATAAAAATGATTAAATCTAAGATAATCATCGGTATTTCTACCTGTCTGACCAACGTTTTGTTCAGGGATTTCCCTCTACTAGCGCATGCGCATAGCACACCATTTCTTTGTAAACAAGATGACTGGCCGTGTGAAGTAAGCCAAAGAAAAGTGTTGTACCGTGTCAGCTACGAAGCGAATAGTTGCCAAATGGTCAAAAGATAGCGCAAGGGGTACGTTACGGAATCATTATTGCCAGTGGGAAGTATTCAAAGCAGAAAATAACTGCCCTAGCAGTCAGTACGGTGCATGTTTTCTTCCGGATAGCGGCCGGTTAAGCTGAAATAAAATCGACAGAAATGCTAGCGCTGTTTATGTTATGAATAAATATCTAAAACTATTAACCTCGCTAGTATCATTGTGTGAGTTTGAACACAGATGAACTTAGTTTAATATGTTAATGGGCATGTATCGGAGAGAGTTTACTTTGTGTTTTTTATAATTATACAGTGGTTTATGCAAACGAAAGGGATAAGTGACTGGTTAGTTTGATTTTGCCATGAGGCCCCCCAAGGGATAACTGCTGTGATGGCCACGGCGTATTCTGTTCTCTGATCCTCTGTCGGTGCTCGGGGTCAAATGAGATACGTGCGCTATTAGATTTACATAATTTATAATATTACCGGGATCAGTAAAATGGTATGATTTAATTATATTGCTGAATTAAACGATTGTTTTTTGTTTTGACATGCAAGTTTTAAATTAGTACTAATATAATACCCGGCCTGCCCTGGCGCGACGACGCAATATATAAAAAAAAAATCGCTCTTCGTCAGAAAGCTACGTTATCGCAGCTAGATTAAAAATGTCAAAATGACGGACCAGGATGAATAACTGAGGAAGGAGAACCTACTTCTAGTAAATAGGATCGCATAACACTTTTTTTTTAAATCGTAATTTTTCAACAGTTCATGTTTTCATATGATGTTGACTTAGAATGTATGATCATGTAACAACCTTTTCTCTATAAAGAATAAATTTTCGACTTCAGATAGAATCGGAATACGTATTGAAAACAGGGGAAAAAATATTTGATTACGTTATAAAAATGGCGCGTGCTGCCGATAACTACGGCTTCTGTTTCGGACCAAAGGAACTGATTAAAGAAAAGTTGTCTCAGCATAAAAAGGTCCATTTAAAAGTATGCTTTAATCTCTGTAAAGTATTGAAAAAATATAATTATCAAGTATCTCAACACGTTCCTTATTGACACATATTCTACATGTACACGTAGTGGTTTTGCCATACAGTTTATTGTGTGTGATGGTTAATATGACTTCCTAAATGTTAGCGTTTGGAGACAGTGAAAGTGGGAAAGAGAGTATACATAGATTTATATTCATGGTCTAGAAAAAAAATGGCCAAAGACATTGAGTTGTTTAATGTAATAAATAAATTCACAAACGTTTCCTTTTTATATTCGCGTGTAGTTTGTCATTGCATATATGCACTTTATGTAAACATTTGAAAAGGGATATTCGTCTCGTGAATATTCCTTTTTACAGAAAGGTTTGTCCCATTGTTGAGGGAGTGTTTAGCCCCGTACCACCTGTACCGGTCACGGGAGAAGGCTGTGATAAATTGTAAAAACTTGTGCCCCATCCTTTGTTTAATTTTATTGGCAACAAATTTATGTTAAAAGCTAAATAAATTTAAATTCTTAATATTGGCAAGTGTGCAATTAACTTCTGATGATGAATAATTACTGTTCAATAAGTTTGAATACGGAATTAGAAATCATATAACTTGGTTTCATAGTGCGGTAAGAAGTTGCAGTTGCCTGACGGCCCCTCTCTGAGGGCCCCTTTGTAAACCGTTTCATCTCGCTCGCACCACTTGTGTTTGCTGCCTAATCAGGTGACGTTATCGGCGCTATTTTTAGCCGGGCTTTCCCGAACAATTCAAGTGGTCAAACTGGACATTTGGAACGGACTATGAATATGGGGATAGCGAGGTAACATAAGTGGAAGTGCATACAATACATACATTCATTAAAAAAAAAACGCCTTTTCACGTGATGTCCCTTTAAGGGAAAGTTTACGATTAAATAAAAATATAAATAAATAAATGTTATATAGATAATATAAATAAATAATTATGATATTATTATTACAATTTGTTATTATCATGATTAGTTATACAAAAAATTAAAAAACGAGATTGTATTATTTCCAGTGCGTGTAATCACGGACTTATGCAAGTCCCTTGTGTATCTCTCCTTCTCTCGATATTGTAACGAAGGTAAAAGACCTATATAATTATTCTCTGGTTAATGTGAATAATATGTATATACGGTTTTAATTTTTGATGTTCAATATGCTATATTCACGAAGCACTTGTATTATACTACTCGGGCCATTATCTAGAGACTGTATTGGGAAGCTATCTACAAACTCGTTAGGCACAGCACCTAACGATTTTGTAGATAGCTTCCCAATACAGTCTTTAGATAATGGCCTGAGTAGTATAATACAAGTGCTTCGTGAATATAGCATATGTCGCATTTGGAAGCTATCTATAAACTCGTTAGGCACAGCTGCTGACGGCTACTTTAGTATAAGTAAACATTCTCTTTCACTTGGAGACTTTCTATTGAGACACGAAGCCTACTTTATCTAGGACAGTTATCAATCAGTCATGCAACAAGTCGTGAGCATGAAACTACGCAATGATGGACAAGGGGAGAAAACTCTTACACACACACTTTAGAGTATTGGAATACGAGGCGTAGTAATTTGAACCAAATATAGTTTGGAACTTTCACTGATTAAAAACGCCACTGTTAAAGATCTTTACATATTTTCTTTGATTTTTTTGTCTTATACAGATTTATTTCACCATATCATAGCATTGATCATATCATGAAATAATGAACACATTATCTAGAGATCTTTCGTGAAAGGAGATAAAGCGGTGTTTTTTTTTTGTGAAGAAATTATTCGGTCCAAAAAGCGAAATAATCTGAGACTGATATAGTTCATGATGCTCACCGAAAAAAAATCGCCTTTTCGTAAAATTTTAACATTATTTCTTGGATTTATTGATCGTTTTCGTATGTATTTCATCATTTTATAGCATTAATTATAGCATGAAATAATCAACACAGCATTTAAAGATCTTCCGCGGAAGAAGTAAGTTTGTTGTTTGGTTTTGCCCAGGCTTAGCGAGGACCGCTATGAATGCTGTACACAGCATCCAACAACACAGCACATATATATAGATTTTGATAACTGATTCAGATTTTTAAGTATGAAAACAAGAAAATTTTATAGGGTTATTGCCCATCCCCTCTTGGTAAATAAAAACAGATATCAAATCTGACCTTGACCTACCTATAGCTTTTTCCGTACAGATTTTGTGGATCCAATCCAACACCTTCTCAAACTGTCCATTGGTGGAAGTCAGCTCACGGCATAGCAACTGTATAATGGTCAGTAGATGGGCCACTTCCTTCCAGTTGTGGTCATCTTCTTCCACTGACAGAAGGTTCATCACAAGCCTCTGTTATCATGTCAAAGTAAATTATAGTGGTTTGTATGGGGCATCATTATTTATCATTCACATCAAAAAGAACCTTTTAAACCTAAGACATTGGAACACTAGCTATTCTAGTCATAAATGTCAACATCACTTATCTGAACTTTCCACAACTATTGACAATATTTATGACATACTGGAAACTTGTTGACAGACAAAGCGACAGTATTTTTGCCTTCCTTGGAAAATGTATTCCTAACCTACCTTAAGTGTTTGACACAGACAGAGTTTTTTTTAAGATGCTGAGAGTGTTCCTGACTTACCTGGAACTTTTCTATGTTGCTGCCAGTGTTCCTGACTTACCTGGAACTTTTTATTGTTGTTGAGTGTTCCTGACTTACCTGGAACTTTGTAATGTTGTTGACAGTGTTCCTGACTTACCTGGAACTTTGTATTGTTGTTGAGTGTTCCTGACTTACATGGAACTTTGTAATGAGAACTTTGTAATGTTGCTGACAGTGTTCCTGACTTACCTGGAACTTTTTATTATTGCTGACAGTGTTCCTGACTTACCTGGAACTTTTTATTGTTGTTGAGTGTTCCTGACTTACCTGGAACATTTTATTATTGCTGACAGTGTTCCTGACTTACTTGGAACTTTGTATTGCTGCTGACAGTGTTCCTGACTTACTTGGATCTTTGTATTGTTGCTGACAGTGTTCCTGAATTACCTGGAACTTTTTATTGTTGCCGCCAGTGTTCCTGACTTACCTGGATCTTTTTATTGTTGCTGACAGTGTTCCTGACTTACCTGGACCTTTTTATTGTTGCTGCCAGTGTCCCTGACTTACCTGGAACTTTTTATTGCTGCTGCCAGGGTTCCTGACTTGCCTGGAACTTTTTATTGTTGCTGACAGTGTTCCTGACGTGCCTGGAACTTTTTAATGTTTCTGCCAGTGTTCCTGACTTACCTGGCACTTTTTATTATTGCTGATAGAGTTCCGGACTTACCTGGAACTTTTTATTGTTTCTGACAGTGTTCCTGACTTACCTGAACTTTTTAATGTTGCTGTAAATAACCTCCTGGTGGTTGTCTGGGTCCTGTGCTCCTACTGTACAGATGAAAACAAATGTCAGTTTTATATATCTTGGAACTTTGTATTGTTGCTGCCAGTGTTCCTAACTTACCTGGAGCTTTTTATTGTTGTTGAGTGTTCCTGACTTGCCTGGAACTTTTTAATAATGCTGACAGTGTTCCTGACTTACTTGGATCTTTGTATTGTTGCTGACAGTGTTCCTCACTTACCTGGATCTTTGTATTGTTGCTGACAGTGTTCCTGACTTCCCTGGAACTTTTTAATAATGCTGACAGTGTTCCTGACTTACTTGGATCTTTGTATTGTTGCTGACAGTGTTCCTCACTTACTTGGAACTTTGTATTGTTGCTGCCAGTGTTCCTAACTTCCCTGGAACTTTTTATTGTTTCTGACAGTGTTCCTGACTTACCTGGAATTTTTTATTGTTGTTGAGTGTTCCTGCCTTACCTGGAACTTTTTATTGTTTCTGACAGTGTTCCTGACTTACCTGAACTTTTTAATGTTGCTGTAAATAACCTCCTGGTGGTTGTCTGGGTCCTGTGCTCCTACTGTACAGATGAAAACAAATGTCAGTTTTATATATCAAACACTCTCAATGTTGACTAAGATAGCAGAGAACAAGAGGCCCAGATGGCCTGTGTCGCTCACCTGAATATTTAAGCAGTCATAGCAAAATATTCTCATTTAATAATATACTGTACTACAAATATTTCACTCATATTATTGCTGACAGTGTTCCTGACTTACTTGGAACTTTGTATTGTTACTGACAGTGTTCCTCACTTACCTGGAACTTTGTATTGTTGTTGAGTGTTCCTGACTTACATGGAACTTTGTAATGAGAACTTTGTAATGTTGCTGACAGAGTTCCTGACTTACCTGGAACTTTTCTATGTTGCTGCCAGTGTTCCTGACTAACCTGGATCTTTTTATTATTGCTGACAGTGTTCCTGACTTACCAGGAACTTTTTATTGTTGCTGCCAATGTTCCTGACTTACCTGGAACTTTTTAATAATGCTGACAGTGTTCCTGACTTACCTGGAACTTTTCTATGTTGCTGCCAGTGTTCCTGACTAACCTGGATCTTTTTACTATTGCTGACAGTGTTCCTGACTTAGCTGGAATTTTTTATTGTTGTTGAGTGTTCCTGACTTACATGGAACTTTGTAATGAGAACTTTGTAATGTTGGTGACAGTGTTCCTGACTTACCTGGACCTTTTTATTGTTGCTGCCAGTGTCCCTGACTTACCTGGAACTTTTTATTGCTGCTGCCAGGGTTCCTGACTTGCCTGGAACTTTTTATTGTTGCTGATAGTGTTCCGGACTTACCTGGAACTTTTTATTGTTGCCGCCAGTGTTCCTGACTTACCTGGAATTTTTTATTGTTGTTGAGTGTTCCTGCCTTACCTGGAACTTTTTATTGTTTCTGCCCGTGTTCCTGACTTACCTGGAACTTTTCTATGTTGCTGCCAGTGTTCCTGACTTGCCTGGAACTTTTTATTGTTGCTGCCAATGTTCCTGACTTACCTGGAACTTTGTATTGTTTCTGCCAGTGTTCCTGGCTTACCGGGAACATTGTAATGTTGCTGCCAGTGTTCCTGACTTGCCTGGAACATTTTATTATTGCTGACAGTGTTCCTGACTTAGCTGGAATTTTTTATTGTTGTTGAGTGTTCCTGACTTAGCTGGAACTTTTTATTGTTGTTGAGGGTTCCTGACTTACCTGGAACTTTTTATTATTTCTGACAGTGTTCCTGACTTACCTGAAACTTTTTAATGTTGCTGTAAATAACCTCCTGGTGGTTGTCTGGGTCCTGTGCTCCTACTGTACAGATGAAAACAAATGTCAGATTTATATATAAAACACTCTCAATGTTGACTAATATAGCAGATAAGAAGAGGACCAGAGGGCCTGTGTCGCTCACCTGAATATTTAAGCAGTCATAGCAAAATATTCTCATTTAATAATATACTGTACTACAAATATTTCACTCATATTATTGCTGACAGTGTTCCTGACTTAGCTGGAACTTTTTATTGTTGCTGATAGTGTTCCGGACTTACCTGGAACTTTTTATTGTTGCTGGCAGTGTTCCTGACTTACCTGGAACTTTTAAGTGTTGCTTCCAGGGTTCCTGTCTTACCTGGAACTTTTTATTGTTTCTGCCCGTGTTCCTGACTTACCTGGAACTTTTAAGTGTTGCTTCCAGGGTTCCTGTCTTACCTGGAACTTTTTATTATTACTGACAGTGTTCCTGGCTTACCTGGAACTTTTTAATGTTTCTGCCAGTGTTCCTGACTTACCTGCAACTTTTTATTGTTGCTGCCAGTGTCCCTGACTTACCTGGAACTTTTTAATGTGTTCCTGACTTACCTGGAACTTTTAAGTGTTGCTTCCAGGGTTCCTGTCTTACCTGGAACTTTTTATTATTACTGACAGTGTTCCTTACTTACCTGGAACTTTTTATTGTTTCTGCCTGTGTTCCTGACTTACCTGGAACTTTTTAATGTTGCTGACAGTGTTCCTGACTTACCTGGAACTTTTTAATGTTGCTGTAAATCACCTCCTGGTGGTTGTCTGGGTCCTGTGCTCCTACTGTACAGATGAAAACAAATGTCAGTTTTATATATCAAACACTCTCAATGTTGACTAATATAGCAGATAACAAGAGGCCCAGAGGGCCTGTGTCGCTCACCTGAATATTTAAGCAGTCATAGCAAAATATTCTCATTTAATAATATACTGTACTACAAATATTTCACTCATGAACTTTGTCAACTCCATCAGTTGAAACTACCAGTCAAATATTATTATAGGATTCTATGCTTTTTGGTTCTTTTCAGAAGTTGTTTGAAGTGTTCGACATATATTTCCCTGTGACCTTGTAAGTAGGTCAAGTTGGCTCTATCTCAAGAAGCTACCTGCCAAATCTTATGAATCCATTCCTTTTGGTTCATCAAAACAAATCCTGTAAAATGTTGTTGACCTCTGTGACCTTTAAAGTAGGTTGAGGTCATTTTCCTTTGCAAACTTTGGTGAGCTTTATCCAAAGAAACCACCAGCAAAATATTATGATTAGATGCCTTTGGATTATTTAGAAGATGTTTGAAGTTTTTGAATATTTGGCCGCTGTGACCCTGAAAGTAGGTCAAGGTCATATTCATTTGCGAACTTTTTCATGCTCAATCTAATGAATTTAGCAGCCAAATATTAAGATTCATTACCTTTCAGTTCCTCCGATGTAGTTGCTTGAAGTGTCTGACATATTTGACCCCTATAACTTTGAAAAAAGTTCAAAGTAATTTTCATTCGAAAATTTTGCCAGGATCCACCCCAAGAAGCTACCAGCCAAATATTAAGATCCAATACTTTTAAGTTCTTTGGAAGAAGTTGTTTGACATGTTTGACTCCTGTGACCTTCAAAGCAAGTCAAAGTAGTTATCATTCTCAAACTTTGTATGGCTCTATCCCAGGAAGCAACCAGCCAAATATGAAGATTCTATCCCTTTCAGTTCTTCAGAAGAAGTCATTTGAAGAGTTTGACACATTTGACCCCTGTGACCTTGAAAGTAAGTCAAGGTCATTTTCATACTCAAACTTTGCGTGCTGTATTCCAAAAAGCAACCAGCCAAATATGAAAATTCTATCCCATTTAGTTCATCAGGAGAAATCGTTTAAGTGTTTGACATATTTGACTGCTGTGACCTTGAAAGAAGGTCAAGGTCATTTTCATTCTCAAACTTTGTCCGACTCTATACCAGGAAGCAACCAGCCAAATAAAAGATTCTATCCCTTTCAGTTCATCCTCAGAAGAAGTTTGAAGAGTTTGACACATTAAACCCCTGTGACCTTGAAAGTAAGTAAAGCTCATTTTCCTACTCAAACTTTGTCAGGCTCTACCCCATGAAGTCACCAGCCAAGTATGAAGATTTTGAACCTTTTAATTCTTTAGAAGAAGTAGTTTAAGCATTTGACATATTTGACCGCTGTGACCTTGAAAGTAGGTCAAAGTAATTATCATTCTAAAACTTGGATGGTCTCTATCCCAGGAAGCTACCAGCCAAATATGTGGATTCTGTCCCTTTCAGTTCTTCAGAAGAAGTAGTTTGAAGCATTTGACAAATTTGACTACTGAGACCTTTAAAGAAGGTCAAGGTCATTTTCATTCTCAAACTTTGTCAGGCTGTATCCCAGAAAGCCACCAGCCAAATATGAAGGTTCTATCCCTATCAGTTCTTAAGTAGAAGCCGTTTGAAGAGTTTGACACATTTGACCCCTGTGACCTTGAAAGTAGGTCAAGGTCATTTTCATTCTCAAACTTTATCGGGCTACTACCAATGAAGCTTTCAGCCAAATGTCATGACTTTTGTCCTGTCCGTTCTTCAGAAGAAGTTGTTTAAAGGAAAAGTTGACAGACGACAGACGCCACACCATAACATAAGCTCACTTGACCTTCGCACAGGTGAACTAAAAACAGATATCAGTTTTATATATCAAACACGCTCAATGTTGAACAAATGTCAGTTTTGTATATCAAACACACTCAATGTTGACTACTGTAGCAGATAAAAACTAGAAAATGTCTGTAAGACATAAATGCCCCCGCTGCCATGTGAAATTAGTTTCAGTGTTCTATAAAAAGTTTCAACCACTTTGATCTTGATACCCTGAAACATGCACACACACAAGGTACTACACTTAAAGTTGATTTTAATATTCATATGTTTTTTCTGTATGTTATTACCATCTCCATAACATATTGAATGAAGTTGCTAAGTGCTTAAATTGAATCAGAAGTTGATTTTCTATATATAGCAACAGTGACCTTGGCCTTGACCTTGGAACCCTGAAATACAACGATGTCCGAAGTATACTCATACTTGACCTTTGTATAAAATTTGACCAAAATCTGTCAAAGAATGAAGTTGTTAAGTGTTTACATTGAATCGGGACGGGACGGGACAGACATGGGTAACACTATATGCCCCCCCCCATTTTATGGCGGGGGCATAACAAATGTCAGTTTTATATAACAAGCACTATCAATGTTGACTACTTTACAGATAAAAACAAATGTCAGTTTTATATATCAAACACACTCAATGTTGAGCATATATAAGATGAAAACTGAGACTGAACCATGATTGTCAGACATGAAACCCCACCAACAACATGTCCTCATTCTTTCAACCATCAAGTTGGTTCAGTGGTCTGAATACTTGTGTAAAGTTAAATCTTTGTGTAAGTATTGGTGGTCTGAATACTTGTGTAAAGTTTAATCTTTGTGTAAGTATTGGTGGTCTGAATACTTGTGTAAAGTTAAAACTTTCTGTAAGAATTGGTGTTCTGAATACTTGTGTAAAGTTAAATCTTTCTATAAGTATTGGTGTTCTGAATACTTGTGTAAAGTTAAATCTTTCTGTAAGTATTGGTGATCTGAATACTTGTGTAAAGTTAAATCTTTGTATAAGTATTGGTGGTCGGAATACTTGTGTAAAGTTAAACCTTTGTATAAGTATTGGTGTGCTGAATACTTGTGTGTAAAGTTAAATCTTTCTATAAGTATTGGTATTCTGAATTCTTGTGTAAAGTTAAATCTTTCTGTAAGTATTTGTGGTCTGAATACTTGTGTAAAGTTAAATCTTTCTATAAGTATTGGTATTCTGAATACTTGTGTAAAGTTAAATCTTTGTATAAGTATTGGTGTTCTGAATACTTGTGTAAAGTTAAATCTTTGTATAAGTATTGGTGGTTTGAATACTTGTGTTAAGTTAAATCTTTGTATAAGTATTGGTGGTCTGAATACTTGTGTAAAGTTAAATCTTTCTGTAAGTATTTGTGGTCTGAATACTTGTGTAAAGTTAAATCTTTGCATAAGTATTGGTGGTCTGAATACTTGTGTAAAGTTAAATCTTACTGTAAGTATTGGTGGTCTGAATACTTGTGTGTAAAGTTAAATCTTTGTATAAGTATTGGTGGTCTGAATACTTGTGTAAAGTTAAATCTTACTGTAAGTATTGGTGGTCTGAATACTTGTGTAAAGTTAAATCTTGCTGTAAGTATTGGTGGTCTGAACACTTGTGTAAAGTTAAATCCTACTGTATGTATTGGCGGTCTGAATACTTGTGTAAAGTTAAATCTTTCTATAAGTATTGGTGTTCTGAATACTTGTGTAAAATTAAATCTATGTATAAGTATTGGTGGTCTGAATACTTGTGTAAAGTTAAATCTTTGTATAAGTATTGGTGATCTGAATACTTGTGTAAAGTTAAATCTTTGTATAAGTATTGGCGGTCTGAATACTTGTGTAAAATTAAATCTTCACCAGAAGATCAATGAAGCGAATAGAGTGATGACAAAATGTTTTACGTTAATGTTATCAGCGACCTTCAATCCACAATACAGAAATGCAAACTAATTGTTCAAGGTACTAGTGAACTGAATACTTTGAGTTTCATCACAATAAAATGGAAAGTGAAGGCGTGAAGTGATAACTAACACGATGATGTGGGGCAGATGGGTGGAAATGGATGATGATATGGCCTCCCACCTCCCGACACACATTTCATGGTAGGGGCATATCAGCTGTACTTACAGATATTACAGAGACAGATTGCAAGCTGATCCTTGTGTTGCTGGGTGAGTATGGTCATTATGCTGACCAGTCCCTCCAGACACTGACCACAGATGCCCTTGCTGCGGTTACGTTTCCCTTCCTCCTCTGGCTTCTGGTTCTCAGAGTAATGCTTCAGGAAAGCACTGCAACATTGTCAAGATATGGAATACAGATAACCCTGTTGGTATGAATACTGAATTCACAATGAATAGTTACCCAGAAGATCGTACAGTATGATATCATTTCTCAAAGTTTGTCCTGCTTATTTTGATTCTTGAAGTACTGATTCAGGAATGAAATACGAATGATGTCAAGGTGTGAACAAACTACCTGGTCTACCTAATTGTAACAGACAGGCACCAACTAGTTTATTAGTTGTTCTCTGACTTGTGAGTGTTCAACAGGACATCAACTTATTTGTGAATGTTTAGCTGGTGTTTGTTTCAATTGTGAATCTTTGATTGGTGATTTTTTTCTGGCACTGTTTCACTTTTGTTTGATGATGAGTCATTAATTGATTTGTTTTGTGTGGTAGGTCATTGTTTAAAAAGTCATTGTTTGATCTTTGAAGTTTCCTTGGTTCCCAATTTCAATATTTGAAAGGTCAGTGCATGGTTACATACCTGCCAAGACTACAGACAAGTTGGCGTATCTTGTTGCTGTCCCCCGCCTCCAGACCATCACATATTCCCTTGTCCTGTATTTGTTGGATTCTCTGCAGAGCTACACCCATCACATACTTCCTGAAGTCCATGTTGTCTCGCAAGGCCTGTACACTCTCTTGATGACTTGGTGCCGAGTCCCTGTAAACAGGCACATATCAATCTCTGGTCACTGACACAAACATGAGATAAGTGATGTACAATCTCTGGTCACTGACACAAACATGAGATAAGTGATGTACAAT